ACTTTGAAAGCTAGCGAAATAATAGTGTGATTTGCATTTAAAGTGCAAAAAGTGTCATTTTCAACGTGTCGAAATGTCAGTTTTTCAGTTGAAAACCTAAAACTGTCAAATTAGTGGTCAGCGCCCCCGAAAAGAAAAAAAAACAAAAATATTGGTGCATCCCCCGCCACCAAAGTACCAAAAATTTACCTTTCGAGCCATCGGTGTTTGCAGATCGACGCAATCCATCTTTTCTTCTATCACCGGATCCACATTCATCATCAGTGTCTACGACCAGTATCGATAAAAAGAAAGAATTGGGCACTCATAGGTAATGGTTTTAAAGAAGGTAAGAACTTTAGAACAACGGACAAATACATAAAGTAAGCACACCATTTAAAAGGAAGGTCTAGCTAGATAGAACTGAGCAAGTCGGCGTATAAAAGGCCACAAAATACGATTTCCGATCAATAAAATTCAAAGTAATGCAGTCAGATGACAAAAAAAACAATTTATAAGGCATATAGGTTAGCTAAAAGAAAATTTCGAGATGAAGGAGTAAAACCTCGTGAGCAAAGAAGGAAAAAACCACAGAAAAATGGGCACGGTTTAGGAGACAGAAAATGAGATATTTGTGGCGCGTTAGTGGCCACAAATATCTCATAACGTGGCAAGACAATTCTGAAAAAATGAAAATTGAGTGACACCGGGTCGAACCCGGGTCGTGTGGGTGTAGATAAGCACGCTCCCGACTGCGCCACGGCGACAAAAACTACTCTTGAAATAATTTGAATATTTGAAAGCTTTTTCATGAATGGAACTCAAGAAGTCTAAGGGAAAGTCAAAAATCGGGGCCCACCCACTTCCACAAATGGCAACGGAAATTGTTGGATTTTAAAAACACAAAGATTCGATAAGATTACTACAGGTGGTGCAAGTAAATTCTACAATTCTCACAAAACAAGGGTTCGATAAGATAACTACGAGTGATGGGTCAAAATTTCTACAATTCTTACAAAACTCTACATCCAGAACTAGGCCAATGACCTAACTAAAAGTTTATAGGTTTCATTTGGCTTTCGTTTTAGATTCGAATTCTACTTGAAAAAGTTCTTGAGGAGAATTGTTTTCTGAAAGGTGAAGCTTTATTCTGAACCTGATTTTCATCCAGTTCTTTGAGCCTTTAAACCCATCCTATTTATTTCTGGATTAAAGGTTTCTAATATTCCAGGCATTTTTACTGCTCAAGATTTGCCAATGGGTATAAAAAGAAGATAAGATTCGCCAATGGGTACAATCTACTCGACTGAATATTTTTCTGCTAAAGATACTCAGCTAGCCGGTCAAATGCATATTTGCCAATAAATATAAAATCCGAACAGGCTGCGATTCTGGGAGTGGGACAAATGCGACCTTTTTTTTGCGCACCCGGACATTTGCGCACCTTTTTTTCCGCACCTTTTTTCGCGTTTTAAGAAAGCTCTAAAAAGGTAATATTAACCAATTTCTATTCCAAAAGTTGTTTTTCTAGGTAATTTGAGGGTGTAGAATTCAAATTTTGACATAACAGAGCGTGTGAAACCAATTTGAAAGACAAGACGGCTAGGTCAAATTACAGAAACTTTTGATTTTTCTCTTTGTATAACCCCGTCCGTTTGTTTCCACAAGCTCTGATATGTCAAAATTTCGATTCTACGCCCTAAAATTACCTAGAAAAACAACTTTTGGAATAGAGATTGGTTAATATTACCTTTTTAGAGCCTTCTTAAAACGCGAAAAAAGGTGCGCTAATGGGCAAGGTGCGGAAAAAAAGGTGCGCAAATGTCCGGGTGCGCAAAAAAGAGGTCGCATTTGTCCCACTCCCGCGATTCTTGCATTTTCTTCTCTTATTTTCAAGAGGAAGCCCCAATCTTTTTGATCGATTTTGGTAGTTCGGAGTTAAAATTTTTTCCTCGTCATGGTTATCCTGGTGCATGAGCCGAGTTATTTAGAGATTATTTAGGATCTTGTCTAGAAGTTTTCATTTTGATCGTTTTCATTCTGATTCTAGTTCTTTCAATTCTAATTGTTTTCACCAAATTTAATTCTTTTTTATTTACAGGTAGAACGACGCCAAGCGAATTACGGTTCAAAATGCGAAAGCTGACGTCATTCCCGATGGAGAAGCTCTGTTACGACCTAAAGTTAGAGGTGTTGGAGGAAACCATGCCAGAAGAGACGATTGAATTGATCAAGGTGAATGCTGGATTTCGATCGATTTTGCTGCGGACACCCTGGATAGTTTTTGGGCATCACGTGGCCCTGATGGATTTCGGATCTAGTGGTTGGGTTCTAATCGAGAAAGACTACGGCGGTATCTGCCAATTTGATACCGATCTCCACTTTCCATTGATGAAACGAATCCACTCGTGTAGCAGCTTGTCAATAGACTTGGGCCCCGAAGAATTCATCGACACACAAGCGATGATTCTGAATCAATTGAAATATCAATCTGTGAAATATTTGACGCTTAGCGGGGACGGCTTTGCGGGTACCACGAACGAAACGAATTTCCGAAAATTTCTTGAGAATTTCCGCTCGGTGATTGAAATACAAGCACTTATTCATGTAGACATTGAGTTGTTAATACAGAATCAAGTGATCAGCAGCCTTTTTGAGAATTTCATTGCGAATCAAATGAATGACTGCAAAAGTGTTAATTTTTTTTGTCATTCCGTAGCTGCTTTTCACTTCTACATCGATGCTTTTGCCAAGACTTCGATCAAATGCATGATAGTATTGCGGTGCTCGGATCACTTTGAAGATATCGTGCGATCAATTGTTGAAAAGCGAATCCCACGCAAGAATTTGAAGACGGCTTTTCGTCTGCTAGCCAATTATTCTCAGGAAAGAAACGCCTCAATCATCGACCTTCTTTCGCAATTCCCTGGAATAAAGCGATTTGACGGAAAAAATAAGCAAGAAGTCATCGAAATGTTGGGAGAGCTCGGGAGAAAGCATCTGGAGCCGCTTGCTCTCACGAACATTATATTTTTTCAACGAAAAATTGACTCGAGTATCGACTATGTCTACATGTTGTCATCGAGTTTTTTTCATACAGGCTTTTTCGCCTTCTATGTTCAGCCACGATCGGAAATGATGGAGTCTTGAGAGTTTTCATTGGATTTTGTACAATTTTCTATTCATTTTCAAAATCTTCTGGGCAGCCGGCACAGAAATCGTCAAAAAGAATCGATCTTTTTTTATCGTAAATTGCTGCTTCTTTTTGTGTAACGCATTGTTTGTCAAATTTTCCTCAAAATTTCAATCAGCATCTTTTTTGGTCAAAAATAAATTTTTATGAATAACCAATTAAAAGTGAAATCAAAGAAAATAAGCAAGACAAGCTAAGGAATCGGATACACATCGGATGGAGAACGGAGGGATTGCCGTATTGTCTCCACTCTTGCTTGGTTTTAGTAGATGTACAAGGTTTCATTGAAGTTGTTAAATTATGTAAGAAACTGATTATGTTAAATTATGTAAGAAAAAGTCTAGGTTGTTAAATGGGAGAGTCAGGCCAGGACCCTGGATCTGGTTTCTGGTCAATATCAGTATTGGTACTGATATCGATATTGGTATATTGATATTGATATTGATACTGACAAAAAAATATCGGTTCTGAAAAACTAATATCGATATTAAATCGATATCGTAAATACTGATATTGGCCAAAAGCACAACTTTAACCATGACCACCCTCAAAAACCATTGAGACTTTTTTGGAAATTCGAGTTTAAAAATGAGTTTCTTTTACTGAACACCCAGTAGATTATCATTTTTTTAAGCACTTTTATTCATGGAAAAAAAAGTTTATTCGGCCAACAATAACATCAGAATGGCAAAATTTAAATATGAAATAGTGAGGATCAAACATACACCGTGTTTCTGTACGCCAAGTTTTTCTCAGTTGCACACTATTCGGACTGTGCGAGTAGATTTTCTTGAGCACCAGAATCACCGAGTCGCCACTAAAATGAATTTTGAATACAATAATTTAACTTCATGGTAAGATAGTCTTTGTTAGATAATGATAAGAGCAAAATTTATCTGCTATGATTTAATTAATCAAAGTCTAAATCTCAAGTTCGAACTCTTAACAAACAAAAGCAAACCGGCGAAACATTTTCGAGGTGAAGCGATCACGCGCGACTGGCTTCCCTTCTTCTTTCCTTTTCCGGTTTTTGGCAGCTCTGTGCACATCTCCTTCACATTTTCAAGCACCATATTGAAGTGGCTAAAGTTATTCTGCAACGAACACAAAAACGATTTACCTGTCAAAAGCTTTCACACGTCCTAGTAGCTTCTGGTTGTTTCTGCAGTTGATCAAAACCTGAATTCAGAAGTTTTGAAACAGTTTTTAGCTCGTAATGTAGTGCCTTAACTTTTAAACTCTAGAAAAACATCATGAATGGGACAAGTTACATCAAAATAAAAATCGCCAGCCTGTGCATTGTTCTTAACGGATTGTGTGAGGATGGAGAACGGTCCAACGGTGAATTCCTTCTCTTCTTGTTCCATCAACTCCTCCTGCATCAGCTCAGATCGTGGTTTTATCATACTAAACAGAAAAAGTAAACGTGGCTCAAGAAGAGTCAAACCTACGCCATTTTGCTCGAGCAATTTAGCGCTTGGTAGATGTCGCAAAACGAGCTCTGAAAGAAAGATATTATTGAGTAACAGTTTTAATAATAATAAAGAAGAAAAAAAGAGAAATACGCCATAACACAAAACGTTTCCTGCAAGTTTTACAAAATGCATGATAGGCTTCTTCTTGCTAGGAATTTTTTGCGGCTAATAATTTGGCGCTTTTGCTTGCACCCCGCATATTCGGGAAACTTTTGCACTTATTCAGAGCTTTACATATATAAAAATTTACATTGAAGAGAAAATTTGTTTAAACCAATTGGAATTTCCATTTAAACCTTGAATAAAAAGGATTGGAGCACAGATGAATTTATTATTTCACCAAAATCTTCGCAATGATTGTTCGTTTCGTCCGCAAATTACTTTCTTGCTTCCGAAAAGTCCGCTACTTTGAAGGTTTGTTGCCTTTTCCTTTTATTTCTTTTCGTTGTTTTTCTTAAAAACCGCTAATTTGTTTCCCGAACCTCATTCCACCTTCATTTTATTTTACTAATTAATCCGAAATTTTGTCCACAGGTAGAGCCCAGCATTAACTGCTTGTGGACAAAATTTCAGATCAATCGATCAACTAGCAACCAAGAAAATGAAGGTGGAATTAGGTTCGGGACGGAATTTGCCCATGTCTGATTTGTTCACTTTTAATTTTGCAAATGTTTTAGGCCTACTTATTAGAAAATGTAAAAGCATTAAAGTTAACGATTGCCATGTTTCATAATATTGGTTTTTACTAGTTACGTGCTTTTAATTTTTTTTTGCAGGAACCGGTGGAGATAGGAAAGACGAGAAAGAGAAACAAAACAGAAAACGATCCGCACAAGCGGCAAACGATGGTTCTTCTAAACAGGGTCGCTTGGATTTATCAAATCCCTTCTTGCAAGTGGCCAGACAGCATGTAAACCCTTTTCTATTTAATGATTTTTACTTTAAATTTAATATTAGCTTGGGGGAGGTTCATCTGGTCAACAAGGATCTTCAAATCGTCAAGGATCATCAAATCCTCAAGATTCGGTCCGCGAGGTACCTTTTTATTTAAAGTTAAACTCATGAGATTTTTTTAGGGCGGGATGGTAGTACGTACGGATGCGGGTTGTCCAGGTGTGAAAACCGGAATTGGTGCGTCGATCAGAGAGCCAGGGCCAGGCCAAGATACCAAGGATTTCTGTAATATGTAAGTTTTTTATGCGATGACGATAGTACCGAATATTATAGCTGGTAAAAAAATAGTTTAGATTGTTCCCGAAAATATTAGTCTTTTTGTCAAATAAAATACGGTTTATTTTTTAAAATTAGCTAATAAAAGTTGAGAAATTTTCATAAATTTAGTGCCCTGGACATCAGTGACTATGTCGCGTCAGGAAAGTCAAATGCGGCTGAGGCGCATGCGGCCACCATAGCTCTACTTTATCTTTTTTTGAAGGGCAAGAAGTAAGCATTATCCATTTTTATAATAGTCTTATAATATATATATGTAAAAAACTTTGTTTATTTAGTGACAAGAAAATATACTTGTATACCGACTCTAGCCAATTGGTTACGAATATGGACACACTGATCAAGAAGGATCCATGCAGGAGTATTGACGCGAAACAGTGTGTTTTGCATTTGTATTTTATTATATTTTACGTTTAGCTATGAGAATTTGCACCAAGTTGTGAAGTATTTTCAAAACGGTGTAACTTTCGAATGGCGCTCAAAATTCGAGAACGCAAGGGTAATCTTTAAAAAAATATTATTCATTTATAGGTAAAGTTCTATTCAATTTGATTGATTTGGTTAATTTCAGGCTGATCAATTAGTGCAGTACGCCTGCAACCCTCAGAAAAAGCCTGTGCGGAAAAGAGCCGAAGCAGGTTCCAAGGCCGTTCAGCTCGACGTTTACAAAGCGATTTTTGAGGGTACGCTTTTGATTTACTTTGAAATAAGCATTTCTTGACATAAAATAATACCTATTTTAAGGAGGAGATCCACCAACAAATGATAAACTGATCGAATACCCTCATTCGAAAGAGCCAATCGTCCAACTTCTTGGAAGCAAAAATTTCTTGGAGATTGTGAATCGTGCGCTGGTTCCGGATGCTATAATTTCGAGCTGGGAATAAAAAAAGGAATGAAACACGTTTTTTGCTTATCACTTGGCCTTCTCTCGTCTTACTCGCATTTCTGTGATATTTTACTCGTGTAAATAAATATGAATTTAATCCAACCCCAAATAACACGTATTGGCGTTAACACGTGGGAGATATTCTGTTTTCACTTCTTGGCTGTTTTTTCGCATTCCTCGGATTACCCTGTTTGTGCTATATAAACAAGTAAGTTACGGTAAAAATGACGTTTGTTCACTCGAATTTCAAGTTGTACATTCGATTTCAATTTTCAATATCGCTCAATAGAGGGCACATGTGAGCACTAGTTAGTAACATTGAAATCGGAGAACTGTAGTTTACTAAACACCTTTTTAAAAGTGCTCTTTTTCGTTAAAGCATCATAAGCATACCGCGCTAATTCCTAGCAAGAAGAAGCCTATCATGCATTTTGTAAAACTTGCAGGAAACGTTTTGTGTTATGGCGTATTTCTCTTTTTTTCTTCTTTATTATTATTAAAACTGTTACTCAATAATATCTTTCTTTCAGAGCTCGTTTTGCGACATCTACCAAGCGCTAAATTGCTCGAGCAAAATGGCGTAGGTTTGACTCTTCTTGAGCCACGTTTACTTTTTCTGTTTAGTATGATAAAACCACGATCTGAGCTGATGCAGGAGATTGTGGATGGACAGAAAAAGGTCGGTGGACAAAACTTCAGGTAGCATTACAAATTCTCTTGATCATTCTAAATAAAAAATGGAATCCACTTTTTTTATTTCAGCTATTCAAAAGTAATCTTATCGTCAAAGTTGTTCAGAAATTTTCAAAATTCATCCGTTTGATGTTTTAAAAAGAAGAAGTGTAGTGAAAAGATAATACCAACTTTTACTTGTTACATACAACATAACCCTTTCTTCCAGTAAAATTTAATAGAAATGTCAATTTTCTCCGATTTGCTTAGTTGCAAAAGATTAGTTAACAATTAAAGTGAGCTAGTTCACAAACAAATAAAAATAACTAATCACCAGTTGACGTAGAGCAAAAATGGTGTGTTTTTCAAACGATAGGGTATCAAATGTAATGTTTTTCATCGGAAACATAATTTTTTTTATGTTTTAGTCCGATTCTTCTTCAATTCCTCGAACCGATGATTATCGATGGCTTTGTGTATGCAGTTCATGTTATGGAGCACAAGGGCGACGATTTTACATGAGCTCTACACAAAACAGTCTCTTCCCGATACAATAAACTTTTATTCTATTTTATAAGCATTTTCTACTGAACACTTTATCTAAATTTCTGTTGCATTATTAGTTTCGTGTTTTTTCAGTAATTTTAAGGTTTAAGGTACTTGATATTGATATCATACCTTTACATTGAACTGTTTTTTGTCCAAATTTAAAGCGAGCTTTGACTTTGACTCAAATGGTGTCGATTTTTTACAGAATTGTGAAACTTTGTACGTAAATTCTTTTCTAAAATCATCAAAACCATAAGCTTTTAGAATAAACTCTTAATTGACGAACACTTTTTTTCTTTTTGTTTCTGGAAAATCGAAAAAGAACAGCTAATTTTCACCTGTTCTAAGGGAAATTAGAAAAAGTGTTCGTTTCGGTAAAGGAACTTCATCAAACTTATTAATATAGAAAAAAAAAATTCTACTTGAAATTATGTTTTCTCTATCAAATTATCCATTCTTTTATATCTTGTCGATGAATTTGACTTTGCTAACTAATCTAATCAAATGTTATTAGGTCATGCGAATATTATTCTATAATCGAATCAAGACCGGACTAATTACTTGGTTAATTCACAAAACTTTTTAAGCTAAACGATATTAAACAGCCGACTAATAATCCGCTCAATTATGGAACCAGCACTGAATCAGGGTAAATGCGATTTGCTAGAGTGAACTTTTGTGGTCTCATAAAGTTCATACCAATTCCCACAAATTATCCTTCTTGATAACCAACTAACGCAAAAAAATTCAAATTGCAACCATTTTATTCAGATTCTCTCAGTCTCTCTGAAAACTTTTCTGCACTTGGCGAAGACAATGGTAAGTGGCAATTCCATTCGACGCAATTTCCGTTTTTACACAGTGGCGCAATCTTCATGCTCCCGTTTTTTGTATTCATTTTCCTTCCGTTTTATAGAAGCAAAAAATGACAGATCTTATGACAAGTACAACACCTTGTCTTATGGGTAATGGAGCAAATTGAAAGTAGGTTTGAAATTGATCGACCTAGGGCACGACTGGACGATGGCAATAGTGTTGGCGTTTCTTTATCAATCGAGCCCTAAGCCTCGAGTGCAACATTTCTTGCACAATGCAACATAAAACAACAAAATGGTAATAATAGCTTTTGAGCTATTTTGACTCATGATTGTGGGATTCTTCCACCTTTCTTCTGGCTCTTTGTGACAGAATTTTCATTTAGCAGTCGAAAATTCGTTATCAATCGAGGCGTCGAGAAAAATATTTTTGTGCAAAACTCATTATTTTTCTCTCTTTTGCAGCTCAAGTAATTTTTCAAATGTCTGTTTTTGTTTCATCACTTTTTTTGCAATTCTTTCAGCAAATATTGACTTTGAAAGCTTATTTATGCATATGTACAATTTATCAAATTAAATTAAGATAGAAACAGAAGATTTTTTTTGCTCAACTTCTCCCAATGACAAAACCTAGAAGAAGGGTGAGAGTAAATGTTGAGAGAAGGACCATCACGATGAGGCCGAGACCTCGAAATGCTCTTTGAAGTGGCTCATCACTGGGAGCTGAAAAAAAGGAAATTACCGTACTTTATCTATGAGGTATCAAACCCCTTCAAAACATTTTTAGGGTATTTGGTATATCAAAAATTTCTTGAAATTTAAATTGAAATGGTATCGCAACGTTATCAAATTGAAATTGATTTAGATCACGACGTTCAAAAGCTCATTGGGCATTTCAAAGAAGAAAAATGCCAATTCTTGTTGGGATAACATGTTTATCTCTATTTGTATTGTTTTCTAAAAGTTGATCTATCAGGGATCTATCAGGGATCAACTACTGTAACCCTATATTGTTTTTATCTTATGCTCTCAAATTGATTTATTGTCAGATTTCATGCTAGTTACAAGTTTTCTAAATAAATCTTATATCGATTTATTAGACTAGAAAATACATGAGATCTTAATTAAGATTGTCTTCTAAAAACAAAACAATTCCACAAGAATTCTCTAAAGATTAACCGACACTTTGACTAATCTCCCTTAAAAAATTAGTTTCCGGGTAAGAAATCACAAATTCAATAAAACATTCGGCAAGTGAAAATTCTCGAAAACCTTGTCTTGCATAAAGATTGATAAAGCAGCAACTACAAGAATAATTAAGTAGTTTGAAAAAAATTGTCTTTCGTAGTTTTGACTTTCTAAAGCTTTTATATAATCTAAACAAATTCTCAAAGTTTTGTTAACCAGTTAAATTTGAAATCTTTCCTACGAAATGCAATCATACCTGTATTTGTGGTTGTCGTCCCGTTTTGTGACTCGAGATCGGACCGTCTTTCGACATTGTCGATGCGGGGCTTTTCGGTACTTTTCATAAAGATTTTCATGATGAAACAAATATATTTGTAATAGAATAAAAGAAGAAGCTGACCAGTGCTCTACAAAACACTTCAATTCACTCTCCTTTTCAAGTCCTCTTTATCACTTGCTCCAAGATGACCTGAGTCAAAATATTTAATTAGCTGAAGAGCTGTCAAAACTTAGTTCCTTTTTGAATAAGTGGCTTCTGTTATCAGTCGGATCTGTGACTTTCCTGAACAGGTCAAACGAGGGCAAAGCTTTCACTCAAAACTCTCCGACTAATTGTACTAGTCTTGCCGTGATTTAACGGTGAAACCTTTTTTGTGTTAACATAAATGTGAACATTGTTCACGATTTCACGGACTGCTTATGCAAAAATAGTGGAATTCAATACGGGAAATGGAACTCAATTCAATTTCACAAAATAGTCGGATTCAATTCAAATTTTCTAAACATTTTCTCAAAAAAAAGCAGAAGAGCATAACGGGAGCCAACTCGAAAGCGGGCAAAAAAATTCTGGGGGCGAGCACACTATCCACTGCGCCACTAGCTTTCCATAGACATAGACAATTACTTTTTTGATGACAAATTAAACCAAAAAGAATCAACAATCCGATACAATCTAAAATAAGCTTGACAAACTCAAAATCAGTGCTGAAAATAGCCGATGTGATTGATAGACACCAAATTTTTGCTTTTTGGAACAACTTTCAGGCAAAGCTAGCTAACAATTCAAATCCCGAAAATCTCGTTTAGAGGCTACAACAAGAGTGTTGCTGATGTCAAGAAAAGTCCCATGAACATCACATTTGACCATTTTGGAATGTTCGTGTTCATTGGAAAATACCAAAACTTCAGAAAAGTTACTCACTCGCAAAAAGCCCTCACAAAATGATCGTTTTCTTGTCTTTCGGAAGTGCGCATCCAAAAATCCAAAGCATCTAAAAACTGAGTAGGATCTGGTTCCAAAATTCGTAAACACAAAATAAAATTTATTTAGCAAATTTGTTTATGAATAACGAATATCAGATCAATCAAAGTTTTAACTCAGAAATCAGAATCTTCAGCCAAAAAAGTTTGCTGATTTCACCCGGATCCGAAAATCAGAACCTTCAGGATTTTTTAATCAAAGGGTATCTATTTTTTCCGTGATATAATCCGGAAGATAATGATTTTCGGATCCGAACAAAACAACTTATTCCTAATTTACAAGTACTGATTTACCCCAAAAAGTGATTTTATACAAAAATGGTTGAACTTTTGGATCTTTTGGATCACTTGATTTTGTACAAAAATGATTAAACTTAATCCTGCAACACTAATTGGATTTCCGATAATTATAAAATAATAGTTCAATTTCCTTTATCCTTATGTGCATTGGAACTCAAAATGAGTTGTTCTGTCCGGATGAAAAAGAATGAAAAGTGATAAAAGCGTACACCATATATCACGCCAAGACCGTCAGACTTTAAAAAGCTTTGGTAAGAAAGACTCCAATTTTTAAATATCTAGAAAATCTTGAAATGAAGTGATACTTCCTCGTTCAAAGATCCCCTTCAACAAAAAAGTGACACAACCGTTTTTCTCACGTCGTACGAAAATTGCAAGAAAATTTTGTTGAACATTTTGTTCTCAATTTCTGCTTTTTTCTGAAATCCAGTCAAATTTCCAAAATGGATTCGAACAGCACGGCTTTAGCAATATTGATCGCGAATCAAGTACAAATAGCGGTGATGTCGATGGTGAGTGGCAGATAAGTATGTGATCGGTTGGTTGATCGCAAAAAGTTTCGACCGATTGCCCAAAGTTTGATTTTTTGACCAGGAAACCGTCTGAAAACACGGTTCGAATCAAATCTTAACTTATCCAACCGTAAGTACCTTTTTGTTATAATCGGCCTGTTATAAAATTTCTAAGCCCAGAGCCAAGGCCAGTTCGGTCAAGCCAGAGCTGTTTCAAGCTTTTTCATTTTGGTTGCCTTGACCGGTTAGTTGAGCTTGTTTGTAGATCATAAAAAATGCATTCACACATCCGCCATAAAAAGATATGACATCGGCCATAAAAAGATGTTTTGTAATGGCCTTGTTTTGAGCGAACTTTAGGCAATCTGGAAGATCCTAGGAACAATCATGGTCCGAGTCAGTCCAAGCTTTTGCACTGTTGTCGAAGAACAAGAATCATATACTGTCTTAAAAAAGACTCATTTGCAGAAAAAGAATGAGAGGAATTCTTCTGAACTTTAGCTTTTTTTCCCACGGACAACTGTATCAATTTCTGCATATCTCAGAAAACAAGAAACTAACTAAAAGTTTTGTCTTTTTTTAGTTGGGCACAATGGGTTTATCATTGGCGATGATTGCGATGATTGTCGTTGGACGGAACTCATTTCTAGCAGGTTGCTTTTATTTTTCACTTTTTACAGAAATCAATCAGACCTCGTTCGACACTACATGTTGGTCGATTTGTTGTGCTATTCTTTGATTAACTGCTGTTTTGTCGGTTGGGCAATGCCATGTGCAATTTGGTGAACTTTTTGAATAGAAAACAAATAAATACCTCGTGTTACATTTCAAGTTACCTGCCATAAATCTCATCGTAATTTGCTTTCAGGAATCTGAATCTACAATTTCCGTTCTACGATCACCTCTTTGCTGATCTCATCTTTTCGGCAGTGGCTTTGGGGTTGAATCCAAAGATTAGTTAAATTGGCTTAACAATTTTCTCTAGAGTATGGCCAAATGAAATGAAATGAAAACGGATCAGATAATTGTATGGAGAAACAAGAAAACGTTTTTTTCAAGCTCGTCAAAATAAAGGCCGGCTCTTGGAAATTAAAAATGACTAGTCCAAGTTCAAGGCAAGAACCGAGGTTTAGGAGTATTCCAGGCAAAAATGTATATCGTAAAAAGATATTTTTTAAAAAACAATTACTATGTGTGGTATTCCCTTGTATTTTTCTTTCCATTTACTCCAACTTTTGCATTTCTTTTGCCATATAACTGTTGTCCCTACTCAAAAATTTGCCCTTTAGTTATTTCTTGGTTTGAATCGTTTATTAGCAATAATTTGGAACGGAATGTATTATCGAATTTTTGAACAAACAAGATTTGCTCAGTATTGTGTTATGGCTTTTTATCCGATGGTTCTATTTTTGTTGATGTGGACACGTGAGTGCTTTTTTTGATTATAAGTCAATTGGGAAAGGTCAGTAAAAGTAAAATGTGTCAAAAAATAATAAAATTGCTAAATTTTAAAAATTGCTTATCGTTAGTTTCTTTTAAACTCCACAGAGTTCAGCTACAAAAGTCGAACAAAAGTAGAGATAAAAATAAAAAGTCAAGTCATTCCCACCCCAAATTTGATGAAAATTGGGCTGGGAATGATTTTTTACTCTAATCAAATCATTAAAGTACAAATTGATGTTACTTTAGTCGGATGTCACGGAAATTATCACGCGATGGGACTGAATTTTTTCGGATTTGAAAATGCTTGTGGTGGTCTGCTCGTGAATTGGTTTGATGTGAGTTTGCGAAAACTTTTTTATTCTAACATCGACTTTAGAGCTATTTTGCCTACTTTGTCTACTCATTTACAATAATTTCTGACTTTTTGATCATCGTTTTGGTTCGTCGTCAGATGAAAAAATCGCAAGGAAACAGTCAACAGAAACAAAGCGATTTGAAGAAAGAATTCCGAATTGCCGTTCAGGTAAGCAATATTTTCGCTTTCGCTTGCCGGAGTCTTTACCTGCAAAAGCAGCGAACTCTGCGGCCGAAAGATAATCTCAAAGCTTTACTAAAGAAAGGATAAGTTTTTCATCTCTTTTCAAATTTTGAATTAGCCAGGGACAACCTAGAAAATTGATCGGGTTCAGCGGTTTAGTATTTGATCCATATCCCTTAAGATTTTTTCCAATCATGATTGGTTCCATGTGTGTAAAATTAAATTTTCTATCGAATGGTATGCAGTTTGCTAGTAGACATGGGCATTTTTGAGTTCTTCGGTTTGAGTTAAGTAACTAGTCAAAAATTTTTCGAGTCGAGTCGCCAAATCGAGTTGAGCCGAGTCACCGAGTCAAGTCACTCCACTCGACGAGTCAAAGCGAGCGAAAAGCGAGTATTCATAATTAGGGGTCGAACTAGAATCGTTCGTAATTGATATTGAGTTCGCGTTTTTTGGCAACAACCTTTTTCGCGAAATTGGTTTGTAGTCTCGTGATCGAGCAATTGTTGCACACCTCTCATTGAAACTTTGCCTTTCAATCAAAATACTATTGCCACAATTAGATACTAAAAAAATTACAACTGCAAATGGAATACTATTGCTACAAAAAAATAAATTTTAGAAACTGGCTTTTCTGAAATTAACTCATTTTCCAGATGATGAGAAACGTTGTTGTGAATGTGATCGCTTCAGTGTCGACCACTCTTCGTCTTTTCGTTTCCGTTAGCATTTCAAGTTTTCTTTTCGCCACCGTTCGCTATCAGGCAATCTCCATTCTCGTTGGGTAAGGATACAAAAAACTTGGCACAATGTGTGATGAAAATCTAAAAAATGAAAAGTTAAACTTTTTCAGTTTCTCCTATACAATTTTTCTGCTGGACCGGAAAAGCCGTAAACGGGAAACGCGACGAGTGACAGTTACCCAATGAATAAATTTTTAAACTGTTTAAATGAATATTGTATTTTACAATAAAAAAGCATCTAAAGTGTAACCAAAAATGTTTGTAATTTATAAATCATCCATTCCAAAATCGAATAAATTACGCTAAAGTTCATTTTGATTTCATTTTAATGTCTTTCTAAATAGCCTCTCTATTCTAAACCTGAAGACTTTAGACGGAAAACGGAAGATACAAAACGCTTGAAAGCTAAAAAAAAGCGGCATCGTATGTATTGTCCTAAAAATTTGATTTTCCAAAGTTTACATTTTTCTGTTTTCTGCCATTTTCCTATTTGATTGGCAAATAGCAATCTTTATTGAATAAATCCAAAAAATGAAGAAATCTTTCATATACGCATATGAACTGAATATCGAAAATACTCAATTTTCCCTGCTCCTCCAAAAAGAGCTTGACATCAACTTAAATTTTGTTTATGCCAGTCCAGCCAAAACATTTAAGTGTGATTCCTAATGTTATTAAGTGATATTAAACGCTATTTTTGCATTGAAGAAATATTGAAACGCTTTTCTTAACAATTTTTAATAGAGAAAAGTGGCCAAATGACAGATTCGCCGGAGAGATGTCGACTAGCGCTCATTCAAGCGCTTGTTAAATGAGTTGTATAAGTCCAATCGGGATGTTCTTGGTAGATAAACGTTACCAAGAATTAGGCCTACAATTCTCTGTATAACACTTGCCACTTTTGAAATAAATTAGACATTTCCCAGATACTCTTCAAAAAAGTTGTTGCGGTAATTCTTGGTCACCCTGTATACAGGGTGTCCGGAAAAAAAGTGGTCATCGGTTTGATATGGATCAAATGTTTTGATTTTTTTGATCAAACAATCAAATGATCAAAAGGTTAAGATTTGACAGAGGTACTACCGAGTGAGAGACGTACGAGAGGTTTCTGTCCACGTCTTTCGTTTTTTTTGGGTGAATCACTCAAGAAGTTGGGAGCTACAGGAGGCTGAACTCATTGTCTTGCCTCTTGCACTTTCTTTTTACGGAACGATTTACAATTTCTTAAAACGCAACTTCTTAACTCCAAAAACTTTTTTTTAGTACACTATTTAGAATTCATTGAGTTATTTACGTAAGAAAAAGGTTTGTCGTTTGTGGCATTATGACCAAATTGAAAACAAGAAAGATATTTGTAATTTTAATAATAGGTAGGAAATTAACAGCACAATCCAAAAAAAACCCAGAAGAGAAAAATTGACCCAGCAAACACAATCATCACACGATCGATAAAACCACCTATTTGCAGAAATCGTAATTTTCTTATCCTGTAACTACTAAATGCCTAGTAAGAACGGATCATAAGTGCCTCATCAAAGAAAAAGAAAGGAATGAGTGAGAATAAACCCACATAATATACTGAATACAGGAAATGTCATAAGAAATACTCGGGTATTTCGTTTTGGTAGGTCCGACCAAAAAGAGACAGAAGGAATCACAGTATTCAAACCACAAGCAGAAAACAAAACGTTTTAAAATAATGAAAACCTTTGAAAAGTCATGCAAATGTATTGAAAATCACAACTATAATTTAAACGTATTCGAGAATGGCCGTTTTGAATTCAAATATTTGATCGCAAAATGTGGAATGGTCTTCTATTCAGAATCATCATCCTCCGTGTATTCTTCATCCGAAGAAGCCTCAATCTAAAATAAAATCTCGAGTATTGTTTCCTATGAGACGACTTTTTCATACTGTATGCTTCAACACTAAACAGTCTAAGGACAAAAACTAGCTCACCTGCTCTTCTTCTTCTTCTGTGTCTTCATATTTGACGGGCGGTGCCTGTTTTGCTTCTTTCACATCAAGCTAGAGATAATTTGTTTATTGTATATACAGTGAATCATTTGTTTAGCGTATAACAAGTAAAACCTTGATATCCATCATGTAATCGGCATCCATATACGAGTCGGAGTGAACGCCCAATGTAAAAGAATAAACACCCTTTTCTTCTGGCGCTGTGAACTTCAGGTCAAACTAAAAATAGGAATTGAATTAAACGGTTAGGTGTAAAAACTTACGGTTTGAGTATCAATCAGTGTTTTGCACGGGGTAACCGGAGCACACAAGCGTCTTTGCTTCTTGTCGTTGAATGCAAGTGTCAACCACCACCATTCAAACTTTTCTAAAATTGCATGACTAGAGCTAACAATTGCAAAAAAAACCTGACGGGTAATAAGGAGCGTGAACGGTATGCGTTTCTCTTGTTTTGGTTTCAAAAAGATTTTTGTCTGGCTTCGACCAATCTTCTTCAATATCACTTTCTTCGTGGTCTTCCTCAAAATCTTCTCGATTCGTATCTTCCGCTTCGGATGCCCCCGAGACCGACTCCTATAAGTAAGTTTTAAAGTGGAAAATAAAATCCTAGAGTCATTTGAAAAGATTACTTATCTTTGAACATATTGCATTTGATTATTTTGGTTCTGTACGGAAATAAGAGATTTTAAGCCTTGAGAAAAATGATGGATTTTAAAGTCGCTGTTTGTTTCCTCCTTCCTTTATGTACACGCTATTTACCTAGACCACGGCTCCGCACACTCAGTACTGTCCGCGCACAGGCTACCTTAAGCTCAGATCACATATTGTCAAGCGGTGGTGCACTTAGGAAGACCCGGGTTGGAGTCGGGTGCTGCAAGTTCTCTAGGGATAGCTCAGATGTATCCCAAACTACTTCCCGGGGAGCTTCCAGCACCCGAGCCCTACGGGCGTACCTAAGTACACTCCGTCTGATGACAATGTGCCATTAACCTGTGCCAGTCCAGTACTCTGACGAAGAAAATGAGGGGTTTTAAAATTCTGGATTTTTTAGAATCCCTCATTTTTTTTTATTAAGTCAAAAACCCCCCTATTTCCACACAGAGCCGATTACTTTTAAGGAACCGATAGTCTAGAATAAACTTTTAGGCTGGATTAAAAATTGATACAGAAAAGATCGAGCAATGTAAAACAAGAGCACAGACTCGCTCTATCGTTAAACATTGCTCGATGGAGGAAGTATTATATAAGTATAAGCCGAAAAGGTTCCAACTTCATCATCCTCATCGTCATTTCCTTTTTCTGCATTTGGAGAAGCCTCAGATTGAACAATTTGAGTTGCACCAGAAGGGCCTTCATTTGGTGTCGTTGCGACTACTGCTGCTTTTGACTTCGGCTTCGGCTTTGTGGGTGCTTTCTTTCCACCTTTTCCCTTCGCTTTCTTTGGTTGCTTTTCCCACGCCTTGCGTTTGGGCTAAACGTATATTTGTTTTTGGGTTTAACAAGACATTTTATCCAGAACAGTAATGCATACCTTCTTATCTTCTTGCTCCTTTTTATCATCTCCTTCATTTTCATCACCGGAAATCTAAAGACAAAACATTTTAGGACTATCGTGGCTACAAGCGAGATATTTACGTACTAATTTTTTAAGGTTACAATGGCCTATAATTTTTATCCATTTTCTTTTATCTACTATTGTCAGCTTTCGGTTCTCTTCATGAACCCTCATAGAAAGATTGGATAAAACTAGCGACAATGACGGTTTTGCCAACGCATTCAGAGAAACATATCGTATTTCTTTTATTAGAACGACCCCTTTGGAGAATATTGAAAAAATAGGACGACCTGCTCTAGTAGAATGACTCCTTTCTAATTATACGACCCCTTCCTTAAGCAGTTTTTCAGTGCTTAGAACGACCGGTCGTTCTATTAGATGAAATGCGGTACTTTTTTTTTAAGTTACTCTAACCTTTTCAATATCACTATTGTCATCAAAATCTTTTCGATTGTCGTCAGGAATGTTATCCTTGTCGAGGAGACTTCGGCGCGTCAATTTCACTTTCAGTGTAACAAGACACTTTGCTGTTACTTCGTGTTTGTCTTCTTCGCCGAGAACTAAAACAAAATTATAATAAATAAAAGGGAAGGGAAGGGTCTGTCTGTCTGTCCGTTTGTCACACGCAGTTTTCTCAGCGCCCAGTTAGAATTTCGGGGTTTTTTGTTTTTGGCTTTTTTGTTTGATTGGTAATATTAAGCTGGCGCCTAAAAAATTAGAAAATTTCATCGCTTATTTTTTAAAAAGCTAAAAACTGCTAAACCACGCCCCTTTTTTGGCTCGGTGGTCTACAGGAGGGAGGACGTGGCCGAGGCGGTTGGCGTTCCGTCTTCGAAACGACCGCTCTAGGGGATGCCGGGTTCGATTCCCGCTCGCTCCAAACTTTTTTGCCTTAAATGTTTTCAAGCATGAAGTATGCAAATTTGAGTAGCCTCACAACGAAGGTATTGTTACAGGGATCTCAGAGGGGGTGCTAGCGCCCCACTATAGATGTCGGCATTGCTGCGGAGGGAATCAGGGTTTGGCCACGATATTGCTTTGAAGTATGCGTGGTACAGGGTTCTCGGAAAGCTGCGAGCGCCCTCAAGAGATCACTATGCATCAGCCTTAAAACCTGCCACTAGGCGAGTCTTTCGGCTGGTACTTTATATAAAATACCTTCAAATGATGTTTCAATTTGCAGCTGTGGCATGGATGACAGAACAACAAGTACATCTCGGTATTGGTAATCACTCAACGAGTTCAAAACCTAAAATTAAATGTAAGGATGATCGGGTTATAGCATACTTCAAGATTAAAAGATTCTAATAAGTAATTATAAAAGCTCTTGAAACGCTCCCTCTACAAAAAATCAAAAGAAAAGGAAAAGGCCCAGTCTAGCTTAAAATAAACTTGCCTGCCGTCTTTTAACATCATCTAGCCTTGCGAGTTGGGCACAGGTGTGGACTTTATTCTGAAATTTTCATTATATGTCCAAAACAGACACAAACTTACCCTTTTAATGAAGCCGAGATTTTGCTCGCCAATGTGAGGTAACTGAAGTAGAGGTGAATACTTGGGCCATAATGCTTGTGTGAACATGGGCATCAACTTGAGAACATTTTCCATTGTTTCAAAGGGAACTTTAGCCTAAAATACCAATTAGAATAGCTTTGGGCTAAAATTCAATGTACCTGCGAGTAAAACGTGAGTTGTTGTGTACAAGATATCATTTCCTCAACCAATCGGAGCACACGGGAGATTATGTATCTACAAACATTCATAAAAGATTTACTTAAATGTAAAAATTTTTTAAGCTAAGCTGGAAAATATGAAATTGATAAAAAGCTTCTTCATTGTTTGGAACTTAGTAACTAAAAAATTAAAAACTAAGAACTTAGTAACTAAAAAACATTAAATTTTAAGATAAAACTTGTGTACGACAGAAAAACTTGTTTATAAACTGAAAATACCTCTGATCGACATCTAAATCATCATTTTCGAGATCATGGCGTCCTAAGTAAGCATATGCAAGAATTCTAGCCTAAAATCTATATTTGAAGCACCTATGATTAAAAAGAAACCTTTAGTGCATACGGAAAAGAAAGCGGTTTTTCCTTCTTGTTTTCTCCAAGATTTGGGAAATGTTTCATCAGTTTGGGTAAAGTGAAATCGTCAGTTTCTCTTTCAACAATTTCCTTGTTGTGTTGTTTCCAAAACTCGAAAGCACCCGTAAGAACCATCAACATCCCTAGATAGGATTAAAAAATGAGTACAGAAGTCTATTAGTAAAAATAAAAACCAACTATTAATCTCCATCTTTGGTGTTTTGTGCAAAAAGTAGAAGAACAATTGCGTTGTATCCAGAAGCACTTTGTCGTGGTTATACTTGATCGAATTATACCACCAAAAGCCCTAAATGAAAAATAGAGTAATAGCTTATTACAACTTGGTAGGCGTGTTTTTTTTAAAATCTTACCACTCCAACGGGCAAAACAATCATGAACATCAAGCCGTAAAAAGCGAGCACCCAGAGACCGTATTCTTTTGAAACGAGCCACTTTGGGAGAGCAATTCCAAACGTCGTCGCTAAATTTCAAATGCTTGATGAAAATCTTTACCCTATATGGTTGACTCCGAAGATATCCAACTACCTGTTGGCCCATCCGGATTTCCATATTTCTCCCAATTTTCCCTTGCCTCATCATCAGTCAATGCTTGGTATGCTTTAGCAATTTTGTCAAATTCGATAGGATCGCCTCCCCTAAAAATTTATAAAAGCATTTTGAACCGAATATAAATGGCCATGCTTATTCTAGACACAAGCAATTAGGTTTTAGGTATCTATATTAAATGTACGCATAAGCAAACCTGTCAGGGTGATGCTTCTTTGAGAGGTCACGATACTTTTTCTTCACTTCAGCAACATCTGCACCCTAAAATCATAAATAAAACCAGTCAATTTGCGAATCACCAACCGCATCAAGGCCAAGAATTGCATATGGATCATATTCATGATGTGTTGTTTCAATCGATGAAACCTTTTGAGCCAACCAGAAAAATATTGTCCATGCGACTAAAATAAAGACAGTAGTTAAGTATTAAACACTTTGGATTTGGCTAGTTAAAGCAATTAGAATTAACAAAACAAAAACTAAGGCTCCTTACCAATGAGAAGAACAATCTGTAAGAGTTTCTTTGTTTTTTTCCAAGGGCGATTCGCTTCTTTTCTTTCTCGTTTCACCACACAACCTCTGCACTGACATTGCTTTTCATCAACGCGTCTTTCCTCTTAAAAATAAAAATAAATGTTTAGCTAGGTCATGGTTTAGAGTTTCCTGTGTGTATGCACCTAAAGGTTGATGATAAAACTATTTTTCGTAAAAATTTCAACAACACTATCGATATCAATAAATTAACGACAATGTTTAGCTAGGCATCAATCTCTTGGCATCGATAAAGCTTACAAGAATTTAGCATCAATAATACTACTGTGAGGAACGACGGTGATACCCGGACTGAGATAAATTAAAACAAAACAAACCTTTCTTTGCTCCAAATGGAAAGAAAAAGTAGGTAGCTGGCAACAAGATGATTGCATAGAATGAAATGAGCACATAGTAAAACGTGTTACCAACTTCATCGTATTGAAATTCGGCTCTGCCCATGTCTAAACAAAACAACGAGTTATAAAATGGAACTTTTATCGCGATGCAATACTTTGTCAGCGGGTGGCTTTAGGCTGTGTTCCGTTTAATTTTTCTAAATTTCTTGCGTTTCCTGAGTTTAATTTAGAATTACGCTGAAGCCATTCTTTTAACACTTTCTTTACAAAATCAATTGACAAAAAAACTAAAGGGTATAGCCCAAAGCTGCCTGTTGGCAAAACGTTGCTTCCACAAAAAACAAGAACGTTCAGAGTAGCAACAAAAATACTAACAGGCGCTAACAAAGTTTTGAAATGGAGCAAACGAGAATTTTGGGTGGTCATTTTTTTGGCGTTTTGTGCGTGATGCAAATTTCAGGATTTCGCAAGGTGGCATTTTCATAGAGGTAAACAAAAGAAAAAAAGGATATTCTCTAAATATTCATTAGTCATTAGTAATTTAGGCTGTCTATCTAACGTATAAGAGAGAAGGGGGACAACTGTGTTACTGAGTGGCCAACATGATGCTCCCGTTTCTCGTATTCTCGCGCAGTTTTTCGCCACTCCCCAAATGGTACCGTACACCTCCAACAAACATCCACGTTATAAAGCATTTCAGGTGCAAAGGGAGTTGGGAGAGGCAGCTTGAACTTGGGTGCTTTTAGTCCTTTCCAAACGGTTTAAACATTTTCTAGAATAAAAAGCCATTTCAGAAAATTGTTTGCTGAAAAACACTCTTTGCGGAAATTCTTTTGCATAAGTATGCACAATTTTTACATACGTCTGTAGAAGTGAAAATTGAAAAAAAATGTTGGTACTTGTGGGGTTGGGGGGGGCAACTTTTTTTTTTCAAAAGTGCTTTTTCTAAGGCAGTTTTTTTGCGTAGATCACGAATTTCATAATGGGAGCTTGGAAAAATGCGTTTTAGACCGACCTTTAGAGGCTTGAAGTCGCCGTCCCTATAGTGTACTTCACTGTAATGTTCCTATAAGAAGGGCTCAAAAGGAGCCTTTTCCTGTCGAAAAAGACTTTTTCTGAGATAATTAGAGTCCTGCGTGTAATTCTAACCAAATTCGAACCAAATTTCACCCACGGAATTTTTCATGTGGAATTTTCACCCATGGGTTCACCCATGGGTGAAACCATGAAAAATTCGAAATTTTCATTTTGCTTTTCAAGATCTAATTTTGCTATTTTCATGTTCTGGACACTCAATTAGCCCAAAGAAAGTGTTTTTGCATGCTGAAAAAAATCCTCAGGCCTTAAATGGGCTCTCCTTATACAAGCCCACAATGAAGTACACGGTAGAGGCGGCGACTTCGGGTCCCCGAAAGTTGGTCTAAAACGCATTTTCCCAAGCTCCCACTATGAGACACGCAAAAAAATTGCCTTAGAAAAAGCACTTTTGAAGAAAAAAGTCCCCCAACCCCACAAATACCACAATGTTATTGATGCAAGATAGCAAAGGTTGGAAAAATGAAAATTCCGGGGGACTAATTTTCAGGTACCAATACAAAGCATCCACAAGAAAATTCTCACATTCAGAGATCTACACTAATATCTATTTTCATTTTCACTTCAAACTTCAAAATTTCAAAACACACCAAACTTTTTGTATTTGATAGTCAAAAGTTTTGATCCTCGTTTTGGTCATCTTACCTCAGCCACTTTGCATTAATAAGCAGTCAATTTGCATTTTGAGAAAACCTTGCATCAAGCAGTCCTAATTTTATCTAAACTATCTTTGCTATCCTTGGGGCTCTCCTTCATGAACTGTCACAAAATATAATAAGAGCAAGTTTATTGTAGTTGTCCAGAGAAGAGCAATTTAAGGAAGTTGGCACGTTTTAAAAGCATCTAAATTAAAGATGCTGTCAACAATATTGTTTATCAATAACAGCCCTGAACGTTCCTTTTCAAAACTGAAAGTACGCATGCACTTTTTCTCCGAAAGAGATCGCAAAAGCAACACAACAACACACGTATAAAAGGGAAAGAAATGTCTGGAAAAAGGAAAACAACAAGCACACTTCACCAACAAAAATTTTCATTTATCATCGTACGCTGTCTTTGATTCTGTTATGTACTTCTTGCTTTTGATTTTAAAAATTAAAATTTTTTCAGTTTGACATCTACATAGTTTTTCTGGAAAATGGAAGTTGTGGCAGAAAAAATCTCGAATATCCTCATCGGCAAAGAGCCACCCAAGTCTCCTGTGCATCAAACTGTGCAAAAATTTCCTACTGATAAACAGCTCGAAAGTTATAAAGAAAAAACAGCGGTAATTTTTATGGATTGCTAGAGATTTAAAACCGGAGAGCATGACAATTAAGTCATTTTAGCAAAACACGATAAAACTTATTGAAAAGTCCAAAAGTATCTTCAATCAGTTAGGGTAGATACAAACTACAAAAAGGATAAAATGTTATGTCATCAATTTATAGGAGTTATATCTATAGGAAATCTTTCAGACTCCTCATGTTCTCACCACCTCGACTGGGGCCCCAATTTACGAAAAAAAGGCGGTGTTAACTGTCGGTCCCAGAGGGCCAATGCTTATGCAGGTTTGTGGAATTTTCTGTAGTCCGTAAAGCGACATTAAACAACCATCAATTACTTGAGCATTCGTGAATGAAATACCGTATCCGTAGCCGTAGCCGTATGAAATACCGGTACTGGTCGGTTGTATCCCCACATTGGTTTGTCCATGCATTGAGTTCGATTATACCCCACTAATTTATGGAGTTATACCGGACTTGATACATGGGTCTTATTTATGGGATATAACCGACAAATACCTAAAATACACTACTAAAATCCTTTAAGGACTTTGTCTACTTAAATGAAATGGCTCATTTTGACCGTGAAAGAATACCTGAACGAGTCGTGCATGCAAATGGAGCAGGTTATATGTAAAAGAGCAATCTTTAGACCAAATGAAATATTTAGGAGCTCATGGTTATTTCGAAGTTACACATGATATCACTCAATACACAAAAGCTGATATTTTCTCAGAAATTGGCAAGAAGACTCCATGTTTTGTGAGATTCTCGACAGTTGGTCAGTTTGGTGTTTTGCTTGAAACTAAAATGATTTCAAAGTAATCAAAATGTAGATGTATTAATACTATACTAGTGGGAAATGTAAATGAATTGTGATAACTGTTGAATGTTAGGTGGAGATCGAGGATCAGCCGATACAGCAAGAGATCCTCGTGGTTTTGCAATCAAATTCTACACAAATGACGGAAATTGGGATTTGGTTAGTATCTATATTGCTGCTATTACAAAATACAGTTTGCAAAACAATCAGCATTTCTCTTTCAGGTCTGTAATAATACTCCAATTTTCTTTATGCGAGATCCAATATTTTTCCCTCGTTCATTCACACTCAAAAACGAAATCCGCAAACACATTTGAGGGTCAGTTCTATAAAAAAAAGTGTTGCTCTATGTACTTTTTACAGGATCCAAATGCAATGTTTGACTATTTTGGACTACGGCCTGAGTCGATTCATCAAGTGATCCATTTTTTTTTGTTTATTTTTAGTTTTATTATCGAAAGAATATTTTTTTATTCTTGTTCAGGTAATGTTTTTGTTTTCGGATCGTGGAATTCCTGATGGATATCGTTTTATGGATGGATTTGGGTATTAAATTTGTTTATACTTAGAACCTTCTACATATAATTAGGTCACACACGTTTAAACTTGTCAACAAAGTTGGCCATGCTGTTTATTGCAAATTTCATTTCAAAGTGAGTTTAAAGCAGGAAGTTACTAAAATTTGGCAAAAAAATGAATCACTTTAGTGTCAACAAGGCAATAAATTTCTGAAAGCCGAAGATGCAACAAGGATAGCGGGAGAAGATCCCGATTACGCTATTCGAGATTTGTTCAATGCAATCGAAAATGGAGATTTCCCACAATGGGAACTCAATTTACAGGTATTTACATATAAATTGAGAATAAAATCTGCCATTTTGTAAAATTGTTAAACCTACAGGGTGTCCCAAAAAAAAGCCACTTCGGGTCAAATTTTAAAAATATTTCCGGTGTCTCAAGTTAGTCGGTATGGTACGAAAATGATTTTTTTGGGGTCAGGAAATTTTGATGTTTTTTCATGATTCCATGGCCCCTATTCATGAAATGTCCCGTGGCACCATGACACCACCACCATTCCACCATAAAACAACTACTTTTCTAAAGTGCTTTTTATTAGTTTTTATTTATTTTCACTGTCAAAGATGTTTTTGCAAACAATTTCCTTCAGAGAGAACTGTTTTTTAAAAGTGCATTTTCTGCCCAAATTATGTTGTCGTAAAAACCGGTCTTTTCTTTGTCATTCTATTCCTGACTTCTTTCTTTTTCTTCTTCCTTTTTCTTCTTCTTGACCACTTCTTCATTGCAATAACACAAATTGAAAAGCTTATGAGAAGTTGAAATTAGCAAAAATGAACATTCTTTTTGTTTGACACACTTAAATAGTCAGGTTTTTACGACAACATAATTGGGTAAAAATACCTTTTTAACTTTTTTTGGAACACCCTGTACATTTGTATCCTACTCAAACCATCATAAACCATTTAGATCATGACATTCGAAGAAGCTGAGAAATGGGAATTTAATCCATTTGATCTAACAAAGGTATATATCACATATTATACACTATGATTTTTATTATACAAATGCAAAAATATATTTCTATGCAAGCTTGAATGTATGTGATAATTTCTAGGTTTGGCCTCACAAAGAATTCCCATTGATTCCTGTCGGCCGACTCGTTCTCAACAGAAATCCGATGAACTATTTTGCTGAGGTTTCTGATATTTTTTAAAAATATAAAATGAATACTCGAATAACATTCTGGAATAGATACCAGACCAACGAGTAAATAACTCTTCCCTCACCTTCCTCCCCTCCATTTTGAGATATTTTTATGTTTAATAAACCAAAAGATAGCCCTTAATGTCTTCTATCTTTTGGTATATTAAACATAATAATATCTCAAGGGTGGGACGAAGCCCAAAGTTGGTCGAGGGGGGGGGGGGCGTTTATTAGAGGAAATACGGTAGTTAGTGGAACCTACTTCCTCAATAACAAACTCATTGTTAGGTCGAACAATCGGCTTTTTGTCCAGCCCACATTGTCCCAGGGATAGATTTTTCTCCAGATCGAATGCTACAGGTTTCGTACTTACAATAAATGCCATTTTAGATATGTCTTGACTGTTTATTCTTGAAAATATTACAAAAAATTTAGGGTCGAATCTTTTCCTATCCAGATACCCAATTTCATCGCCTTGGTCCAAATTATCAGCAACTTCCAATCAATTGTCCTTTTGCAACAAAAGTTCACAATTATCAAAGGGATGGATTTTCAACTATTCACTCGCAAGGTATTCACTCAATACATAAAAGTACAACTTTTAACCTACCTAGATGGATGTCCGGTTTATCATCCAAATTCTTTTAATGGACCGCAAGAGCTTACGGTGAGTTTTCGAAAAAATAACACATGGTTTAGGTGACATTTAAAATATGTCATTTTTCAAGTCATATATTAGACTGATGAATAGGTTTTTACAGTTTTTTCGTTTGTCTTTCTGTAATCTTTTAGGCTTTTTCACAAACAGCTGTTAAGCGGCTTGCTTTTCTTTTCTTTTCTTGCTTGGTTCCTCGAAATTAAATAATAAAGTTCACAATCGATACATCCTTGATATTTGGGTTATCGTAGGGATCGCCGATCCGATAAGCTATACCCATGTTATACTCAATAGTTAGCAATCGGTTTTTAAAATTTGAAATGAAAATGCGAAAAATATAAAAGTTTTTCAAGTCAAATATTAGGATAAAAAATTTTTTTGAGACTGAACATACAAAAGAACATGTCTTTTCAACAAGTGGTGATGTTTGCCGTTTTGATGATGGAAATCTCAACAATTTCGAACAACCACGAGAATTTTGGACTCGGGTAATCGGATAATTTAAAACAAAATGTCAATGCAGCTATGAAATTTATAGGTTTTGAAAGAAGACGAGAAGGATCGAATGGTGAAAAATTTTGCCGGAGCTCTCGTAGCTTGTGACCAAAAAATCGTTGATAGATTCATTGGAATTTGTGCACAGGTTTTGAATATAATTCTGTTAAATTTTGTTGTTTTTAACTCTGTGCAGGTTCATTCCGATTTCGCCGCCCGCCTTAATGAAGCGATCAATAATCAGATGGGAAATGCTGTAAGTGAGGCCAGAGATAATTTTTTAAACGCTTAACGGTAAAAGTTACATCATCAATAGTTTTATGTCGAGCATTTATAACTGTACCAATACCTATTGGGCTGGTGAATAGGTGTTTTCGCTCCTTTTCGTACTTTCGTTTAAAACCAACAAATGCACCAATTGAACTACAGTTTGTTTCATTAGAAAGACCAATTATTTTTCTGCAAGATAACATTCAAACGGGTCTAAAATATCTTATGTCTGGACTTTTTTTGGAAGCGTGAATTTGGGTAATCAAAAAGAGCCACGGTTCAATGCTTGGTTTAGCCACTTTTAGCTAAGGAAACCTATCTTCGTGTCAACAGATAAAAGATAGAGCACAAAAAGTTTGGTATATAATATTTCATTGATTTCAGACTGATCCCAAAGCTCGTTCGTAATGGCAAAGAGGAGGAAGTAAAGTATAAGCCTTGTAAATATATTGGTGAAATAAACCTTATCGTTAGAACTCTTTTGCTTTTCATTCTTTTGCTCACCCAAGAACGTAAATGACAAGTAATACAGCCTTCCATCAAAATGAAGTGTACCATAATTAGTTTCAATCAATGTTTCTTAATTTTTTTTGAAACACTACAGTAACGATGCTTAATTCAGAAATCCATCTTCAATTACTAATTTTTTCAAATTTCAAATTTAACCATTCATTAGGGAATCACAAGACACGAAAAGCTAAACACAATCATTTCCGTGTCCGAGTTTTTTTCTAATGTTTCATTCGAAGTTTTCAAAAGAGATCCAAGTTGTGCGTTGATTTCATACATTGGTTTAATCTGGTTTCAATTAGGAACCGACTTTTCATTTACACAAGGTCGTCTTGAATTATTTGTTTGTCGAATTAGAGCAATTAGAACAATTAAGCAATAATTTCAAAGAACTGTTAAGAAATTTTCAAATCAAGAATAGGATCCAAAACGCATTTAAAAGATCCCTCGTCTCTATCAGTAATAGTTTCTCGGTTCTGATCTAATGAATAAAAGCGGAGATGTTCTCTTGGTAACCTTCACGACTTTCTGATAGTGAGAAATTTTGTGATTAGGAAATTAGGAAATAATTAGGAATCTTGATTACGAGTTAAGTATTTCAGCTGTCGAAAATTGAAAAAAGCGTTGGTTTTGAGATCAACTTTTACTAGAGTACTTTTGGTGTCACGAAGCAATCAATACTGGAAACATTGAGAATTCGAAAATGAAATTTCATGTACTAATTGTAAGGATAAATCCGACTCCGAATTCATTGATACTTTTACACGAATTCATAGAATTGTCTGACGTAATTCAGAAAGTTTTCAGAAAAAAATTTCCGCTTCATTTAGTCTTTTTTTTACTTTTTCAATATGTAATCATGCAAAATAAAATGAACTATTTGGATAAATATCGACAATTATCCAAAAGAAAGGGATAATTTTCTTTTTAAAACTTAAAAACGGCTAACTAGAGTATTCAAATCGTTGTGCTCTGTCCGTAGGAGGCTTTGCAATTATTTCGATAAATTCAAAGTTTTGATGATTTTTTTGCTGCTGTCATATTCTCAAAATCTTTATTCAAGTTCAACCTGTTTTCTTTGACCAAAGTATTCAGAATTAATTTCAGAAAAACCCCACCATGAATACAACATTTTGTGCCTCATCCGTTGCATCTCTTTCTCAATTTTTACCTCTCAAAATTGTTCTTTCAATTCATTCTTTTATCGGGATCTCTGCCATTTTTCTCTCGTTTTTTACCATTCGTCAATATGCAAAAGCTTATTTTCATATCAATTGCAAGGTAATTTGAAAGGTTTCTCTGACGTTTTCAAGAAAAAAAAATCATTTTAGTTTCTTGTGATCACTTTATTATTAATGTATATCGTTCACGGATTGAGCCTTTCGACGTCATTTGTAAGTTTGAAAAGTATAACTTTATTCATAAGTTTTATTCAGCTATATCATGTAATCACTTTATCCCTTCCACCTGGATGTCAAGCTTTATTAACACCAATTGATTGTCTTTTTATGAGAGGCCCATCGAACATTTGTATATTTCTTTTCACATTTCTTCATTTTTCTCTTTCAATCGAAAGGATTCTTGCTCGTTTTTATGGTTTCAATTATGAACGACAAGGCCCATTCTACGGTATTATTCTCGCGTCTTTAAGTGTAAGTTTGGCTTTTATTATAAAGTTAAAAGCGAATACGGAATTAAACTATTTAAAGTATGGTTGAAAATGGAAATTTAGTTTATGTGTGCAAGTGGGATTTTCGGATTCATAATGTATTCGGAGAATTGGGATCCTTCGAATCTTGTACCAATCTGCAGCATTGGAAATAAGTAGAGATTTTGCATTTGGTAGCATCAAAGTTCCGTTTCATTAAATGGGTCGAGGCTTTGGCATTAAAAATGGATTTTCATACTTTGAACGGATTCCTTTGGGAAAATGATAATTTTTTTGGAAAACATTTTCAATGCGGTTGCTAAATACGGCATCTTTCGAAAAACTCCACAGTTTTCAAGTCTTTATCTAACCTATTGTTAGTTATTTTGGTACTATAGTATTAACTAATACAAATGCGACCTTTTTTGCGCACCTTTTCCAGCGAAAAAAGGTAGCATTTGTCCCACCGCCTTCCTCGCGAGTAATGTATTTTTTAAAACGCACACTTGAGAAAAAATACCGTACTTTTGACGAAAATTATTGCAAAAATTGACGCGAAAAAAATGACGAGCTCCAAGTTATATACCGCCCTATTTAAAGATATTCAACCGTTTAACTAATTTGGTGGCGAATTCTCCTCAAATGTAAAGGTATTCAATTTACTCAACGTGTAAAGAGGATTACTCGTAGTTACTCGGCCAAAAACGTCGATTAATCGAGTAAAAATTACTCGGGCAATTTTACTCAAGTAATTACTTCCTCACGAGGAACACACTCTAATCGTGGAGACTCCTTGTAGTCCAATATCATTTGAGGCCTTTGCTGGCAAAAGCAGCTTTGAGTCAATATTCCTTTCTCGCAAAGATAACCAATGGCAAAAATCTCGTTTGTTGGCAGAGAAAACATCTGGCCGAATAGCCAGGAAAAGAAATGAAAATGATAGAAAAGTTGGAAAAAAATTGAATCCATATTGATTTAAATGCTAATTTGGCCGGGGTCTAACCCCATTGAGGAGTAGCGGGGGTTTATTTCTATTGGGGAATGGCGGGGGTTTAATACCATATTACCGTTATTTTTAGATCTATTAGTATTCTCCGTGAACTGGGATCATGAAGATTGCGCAACGAATTGCGCAGCCGATCAAAAACCAAATTTGCGCAACACTATAGAAACGAAGATCACGGAAATTTCGTTTGCGCATTCTCCGTTTTTGACAGTTCCCCGTGAACCTTCATTGAATTAGCTTAACATAAACGAATTGAATAGAAAGCCAAAGGGAGAATTACGATAGTTTTTGAAAGGATAACACGTTTTAGCAAACGCAAAAAATCTAGCTATGATTCAGCTATATAAAAAAAACTAGCAAAAAACAAACTAGTTATGTTCAAGATATTCATAAAAGCAAATTTTAGATACACAGGTGATAATGCGGCTCGTTGTATGGGTGTGTTGTTGTTATTGGATTTGATTGGATCAACTTTAATGATTTATTCATATTGGAAAGAATATCGACAACAAACGTACGTTTACGATTGAAAGAAACAAAATATAAGTAGTAAAAGATTTGTTTAAAAAAAACGGCAGGTGAACTTGTGACTTGACTGACGGAAAGGAGTATCTGACGAGAAGTACTCTTTCATTGATATCAGTAGTTAATCATTTTAGTGACAAGCATGTCCTTTCCACAAATATCCACTTAAATCATGATTCAAATTCAATTTTTCAGTAAATCTTATGATGTTCGTACAAGATTTAATTCTTTGGAAAGACGAGACATGAACTCTCTTTTACTTCCGTTCACTGCTATGCATACTATTTTTTATCTCATTTATGAAGCTGTTTATCTATTTTGTACGTTTAATGATTTGCTTTAAATTATTTTGGTAATTATTTTCAGGTACTCAGATATTGATCACGATATTTCCACCTCTTGTTTACAAAACTGTTTTTATGGCTGTGAATGTAAGTTTTACTGTTTGGATCAATTCTTTCAAATTTTGTTCTTCAAAGTCGAGTGTATCAACGAAAAAGAACAAAAAAAAAGAAAGAATTTCACTAAATTAGTCGAAATAATAATTTAGTTTATTCCATATTATACTGTTCTTTCAAATTTTGTCCTAATTCATCTTTTAAATCGAATGTATCAACAAAAAAGAAGAAAATGGAGAAAGAATTTCACTCAATTCACCGATAAACAAATCATTCACTCAGTTTATATGAATGGATGGTGAGAAATATTCAGAATAAAAAGTTTAACAACAAATTTGAAATACGAAAATGGTTTTATGATGTAAAAAGTCTAAATTCTTCTTTTGGCGAATATAGGAATTCCACTCATCGGTCTTAACACAGCTTCTGTACCTGCCCGATTTGATTCAAATGGAAGATTTGACGAGAAATCAAACGCTCTCACCAACCAACACACCATTACTTTTGCTTCCAATTGAGCAAAACGTTGACCTGAATGGCTTTTTAAGCACCTTGTATTTGTTTTTTTTACAGGATTTTGAATTATTTGATCTTTTGCCATCACTTACCAATACAATTTCTCGGTCCAGCAGAGAATGGAATATAATCAAATGGGTGTCTTTTTGACTCTCTTTCTTCCGAAAATCTTTCCGGATCAAATGAAAGAACATCGTCACCCCAAACCTAAAAGACTAACAAATAAAAAATAAAGCCTATTTGTTATTACTTTTTTGTTTCTTGCAAGCAATATGGGAGCGATTGTTACAACAGCTCCTTTTGGGAAAAGATAGGGTCCTAAAGAATGAAACTTATGTATTTACAAAGAAAGACTGACCGCTTTGAAAATCCTCTTGAAGTCTTCGATTTACTTGAGGAACTGGGCAATATAGCCGGAAGACTTCTTTCATTACCTAATCGTCAAATTACAAAAAATGTATTTGATTACGAAATAACCTGATCTAGATAAGTCATCTTTTTGAGATGTTCTGTTGTGATGATTTCCTCTTGGTCTTCACCAATCACTTCTAATATTTCATTGTAAAGTTTTTGCTGAACTTTTGGATGATGAGCAATACACCAAATAGCCCATGAAACACCGGAAGATGTTGTATCGTGACCTGAAAAGGGTATTGATAAAAATGGGGAAGTTATTTTTGACTTCGGAAACAAACCCAACCACCAAACCACCACACAAAACCAAAACCAACGCCAAACTCGCGACTGGGGGGGGCTGCGAAAATCTGTTTGCAGATTTGAAATCAGCACCAAATCTACCCATAGGCATTTTTGTTTCGAAATTTCGAGGTCGGTTTTGGTCCTTTTTCGGCCGCGAGATTTTGTGGAGGAGAAAAGTGAAAGGCTAATTGCATTTTACATTAAAATTTGCATTTTACAATTTTAAATTTGCACTTTACATTAAAAATTGCATTTTGCAATTTTAAATTTACATTTTACAATTTTAAATTTACATGTTATACATGTTACATGTTAATGCAAATTTACATGTTAATGCAAATTGGTTTGTTTTGGTTTTGGTTTTGGTTTTTTTTTTTTTGGTCTTTTTGTTTTGGTTTGCGGTCTAATTTTAACTATATTAGGCTGCCCAGAAAGTCTTTTCAGTCCTTTTCGTACTTCCGTTGAAAAATAAAAAATTCACCAATTAACCAATGGTTTTCTCTAAATCAAAAGTGTTTATTGTTCAATTTTCCATCTTTTTAAGTCAATTTCGGTTCACTTTCAAGCAAATTTCAAGCAAATTCGTGTTTTTCGTTAAAATCTTTAAAAATCCAGACATAAGACATTTTAAACCGGCTTTAATGTTGTTTTGACCGTTATTTTTAAAAAATAATTGGCCTTTCTAGTGAAACAAACCGTAGTTCAATTGGTGCATTTGTTGGTTTTAAACGCAAGTACGAAAAGGAACGAAAAGATTTTCTGAGCAACCTAATCTAAGGCATGTATTGAAATTGATTTGATTGTTACTCTGATCTGTTCCTTTCCAAATTTTCCATTATCATTTCAGTTGACCTCCAATATCAGCCTCTCTCCAATGTCAGCCTTACCTTCAAACATAAATGTATCCACTTCTTCCCTCACTCCTTCATCATCGATTTCTCCTGCATCATAATGCTAAATATTCTTCATTGTTTCTCATTTCATTCATTCCTTTTTCTCACCTCCAACAACATATCAAGGAAATTGGTTTCAGTTCCTCTTGTCTTTTCGCCATTTGCTCTTTTCGCTTTTCGTTCAGCAATGATCTAAATAAAAATATCCACAAAAACCAATCGTTAATTTTCTACCTTTTTCGTGAAAGTATGTAAAATATTCAAGCAATTTTTGTATAATTTAGCCATTCCTGACCAATAATAGTATGGCGGGAACCAATATTGCCACTAAATATTTGTCTTTTCCTTTGATTATCAGCATTTCCTACTTTCAACATATATTCCGTGTTTATCCAAAGCATATCTCGGATTGCCATAACGTATGGGTGAGATGGGTTATGTTGAACATCAGCTGTTGCTCCCATTGCTGCATCTAAACCATTGCGAATGAGCATGTAGGTAGATAAATGTAGATACTTTTAAATGAGACACTTTGATTTTCCTTAACTAACCACAAATCACATCTAATGCACATCTTTTTATATATGGAACTGCATCAAATTCTTCTCCATTCAATTCAGATACAACTTCCACAAAAATCTGAAAACATTATGTTATGGTTCTGAGCTATTTATCGGACTTTACCTTTGAATGATTATTAAAAGTTTTCACATAGTTCTCAAGATGTCGAAAATGAAAAGTTGGAGTGATCAATTTGCGTCGTTGTTGCCATTTTTCACCCTTACTAGAGTTTTGAAAAGCTTCAAAGATTTTTCTCGTAAATTTACCTGATAAGCAATCCCGTTCCCAGCCATTCTGTAATATAATCATAGCCAAGCCCCTTTGTGATCTCATTTTTTGACTCAAGGATTGGCTAAAATTCGGTGTAACAGCTTTCCTTTTTAAAACTTTATAAAAACCTTTATACTTTCTCCAGTAAGTGGCAAGATAAAGTTTTCATGGGCAAAATTGAGACACCAAACATCGTGTCCTTGATCTCTCAATTCATTCGCATTCTTTAATTCCCATTCAAGGATGCCTAAAAATGAAAAAAGGTAATTAAATTAACGATTTGTTGAAGGATTTTCCAACTTACCAGCTGTGTCCAATTTTGCCCAAATCGGTGCGACACCCCAAATTGGATGTTCATCGCTTGCTAAATCGAAAGTGTCTTTAATTTTTTGTGAGATTGAGTAAAATTCTATATTATAATCTTATAATCTATATCTTGTAAACACAAACTTCTTGGAAGTTTGTTTGCCAATGTTTTCCTTCGATAGAGATCGGTGAAAAAAATGACGGTTCGGTAAAGAAAATAGATGAAAATTATTGAGAATATTGCAGTGAAAAGCGGAAACATCCTTGAGCTGAAAAATAAGCTGAATACAAACTATTGAAATAACAGACGGACAATGGGAATTATCTAAGAGCTTTGACTGACAATTTGCTTCACTTCTCTACAGAAAAGTCTCACAAAAGAGTCGTAATTCAGTTGGACTAATATTCTGGTATTTATAGAAATTTTCAATGATGTAACAGTTTTAAGGGGAAAAGGGGATAAAGTGGCACAAACTTTTTACAGACCAAAGAATGATTGAGGGATTGGGGAAGGGAAAGGGAATTTCTCTTCAAGAGAGCAAAAAGAACACTGAAGGCAGTAGTTTTGTGCTTTTCTCTCCGTTTCTCTATATTTGCTCTTCTTTTTCAACTACACAACTACAAAAAATTCTTTTCAACATGTAGGATTGTAGTGAATGTTTAGAGTGAGTAATGATAATTGAAAGATAAATGCACGAATCAGTTAGAGTCAATCTGGCCAAACTATGGAGGGATTCAATGTGAGTACAATAAGATTTGAGTGTTCTTTGACTAACTATAAGACGAGATACCTAAGTATCTATTAAGTCTATAAGCCATAAGTCATAAGTAAGTCATAAGTCTTTACAATTTTTTTCCAAAAGTCTTTTAAAAATAATGCTGCCAACAAAATTTCTCTTTAAACTATTAAAAAAGGTTAATTGTTTCTCTGCAAAATGGCCTTTGGGAAATTCTTGGAATTAGTTGTTTTTGTGGATTTTCAAAGGCGCAAAGGCGAGGATCCAAAACTGCCGAAGATGCCGAAGTCGCAATTTGGACACTTTCTTCAATACAAACCGATTTTGGTACTAAAGTAAAAAAGATAGAGCTTATTTGATTAAATAGGTCTGCTGTAAAATTTAAAAACGGTCCGTTCAGCTATTTTCTTTAAAACAGCAGTTGAAAATTTTACACAAAAAATTTTTTTACTAAGTTTTTTTTACCAAGTTGAGGCGAGCTTTGAGCTTTCTCTCAAAAGCCATTTTGTAGAGAAATTATAGACCTTTTTAATAGTTTAAAAATTTGGTAAAGGATTCTTTTCCATGGAAAATAAAATTTGATTTTAAAATTAAATTTTTAAGACTAAGCACCAACCTAATATTTTGCGGACAAATGGATAAAACAGAGCAGGAAGACGAATATGCTTGTGTAAATTTGGGTAGAGCAAGTCAATGTAAAGCTTTTTGCTTTGTTTTAACATAATAATAAATAAATCTTCCATTCCATTTTTAGCTTCTTTTTATTTTGAAACTTATAAGTGAAAACCACAAAAAACTTTACATTTATTGTCGGTAGCAAAACCAATTTCATTCTCTTTCCAAATGACCGCCATTTGTGTACACTGATAAGAATGGGAAATCAAAAAACAAATTTTTGTGGAATTTTTCAAAGTGGAAAGGCTCTGATTACTCTATTTTAGCTTAAAATGGTTGCGAAGTCCCTCTGGAGTAAGGGTGATTTAGTGCGTTGTGGTGTAGTGGTTGGCACATTTGCCCGGTCACACAATTTTGCACAAAACGTCGCGGGTTCGAGTTCCGGCGGCGCGCAAGCTTTTGAACTGCCTTAGTTCCAACTGCAAAGTTTCCAAAATCTCCACTGGTCACTGGAAAATGGGTTCAAACAGATTTGGTTGAACCGCTTGCGCCAACACCTGTTTGTTGATTAAAGAACATTCTCTAACAAAGTTCCAGTTAAACGAAAGTTTATCAAAATTGATGACAACATTTTCTCATCTAAACGGGCAATATTCTGGCGAATTCTTTGATAGTAATGGATCACCAATTCAATATTAATTCAGATATTAGAACTAAATGACTTAATACTTAAAATGCGTCAAAAAATTTCATGTGTTTTGAGTGCAGTTTGTGTGGACAAATTTCCATCTCCTTAACAGTTATCTCCAGTGTCTTTGACAAATTTTGTGTTCCATTTAATTCAAATAAATCAATATCAAATAATTCAAATAAATCTTAATAAATCATTCAAAAATGAAACTAGGTACTCTGAATATCGTTTTCCTTTTCACTTTGCGAAAAAAAAACCCTGAAGGTATAAATGCATTAAGGAAGAATTCTTGTCTTTTCTCTTTTCGTTCATGGAGTGTCGGTCTTGTACAGCATAAAAAAACAGCATCTTGAGTACATAATCGGAAAATGAAAAAGGAATGGAAAGGAAAGTGATGACGAATAGATGCAACGGTGCAAAGATGGATTTCTGATCTGTTTCGTTTGCTTATGATTTGTATTATATTGAATAAAAGCATTTACCAAAGTAGCCTCTAATTTGGATGCAACAGCTCTTGTATTTTGGAACTTTCTACAAGCACAAGTTTTGTTTTGATGACGTACGCCTGTTCTAGGGAATACCTATCTTGCAATTAGTCTAGACACAAAGGTCTGGTCTAGACAACGTTGTCATCTTTGATCGAAGGTGATAATCTCGAGGAAATTTAATCCTATTTTTTATTGAGTACGTATCTAACTCTTTGCCTACAATGGCTTTGATATCTGTCTGTCTTACTCATACCTTTGTGTCTTTTGAAATATTCATTGCGTATTTACAGACTCTCAATTGAGATCTTTTCTCCACAGGAAAAAGCCTTTCCCTTCCGTCATTCCCATTCCCAATCTCTCTTTCTTTTTACTCTTTTCTCCAAACAATGAATGAACACAACAATCAAAAGCGTTTTCTTCCCAATTTTCCTCAATTTTTTTCTCATTTTAAGACAAAGCTTGTCATTGACAATTGCTGACTCATTCATTCTTTCGGCTAACTTCTTTAATTTCATTTTTGGGAAGAGCAACTTTGAGTTGTTGAAATTGAAAAACACAAGAGTTGTTTTGTGAATAGTAAAGAAAAGAGGAGCACTGGAAAAAGCTAAATAAATCTAAATGGGTACTTGATTTTCTGATGGCACTTGTTAAATGTAACAAAATTTGGATTTAAAAGATCAAGACATGGCTTGTACCTAAAAGTTCTCATATAGGCTGCCTTGAATGCCTTGAGAACCACAGTTTCTTCTAAAATGCTTCACTTTACAACCCTCTAACTGTAAATACATTCAACCAAAAACCTAGGGGATTTGGAGTTTCATTCAAAGTTCTTTGAAAATTTTTGCTGGTAGACGATTTTCTCCCTCATTTCACAACAAGTAACATCTTTTGTGCAAGACACGAAAAGAGCAACGATGTGTTCTCTTATTGCTTTGCCTCGAGGAGATGGGCGGAGCTCCAGAAAAGGAGATATTGTAAAAAGAAAAAGCTGAGAAAACCCTCAAGCATTTCAGGTATAAATTGAAACTTCTAACCACCCTTGAATCCCAGATTTTTGTCTGGTCTTGTTCTCAAACTTTCTTCAAGCAAGTTTTCCTAATTAGTTTCTATAAATTGCTTTTGTTTTAAGTTCTAATTGTAAATCAAAATCATTTTTAGAAAGGATGTTGTATTTTTTGGCGTTGATCCCATTGACAGCCGCGAATTTTGGGGGACTTTTCGGTGGTGGTGGATGCGGGTGAGTATGGAAGGAGAGGATGAATAGAGCCCCATATTCTAACCAAAATGTAACTAGTTAACTATTTTATTTACAAAAAAGACTTTTTCATTGTATTGCATTTATTCAGTTGTGGTTTATCCCTACCACCTCCTCCATCACTTTGTCTTCCTCCACCACCTCCAATGCCATGTCTTCCACCACCTCCACCTCCATGTGGATGTCTTCCACCAATTAGACTTCCATCCTTGTGTCTTCCATCACTTCCATCACTTCCATCACCGTGTGGATGCGGTAGAAAGAAAAGGTTTGTAGAAATTGATCAGCTAATCAAAACATAAAGGACAAAATTCTTATGGAAACAGTATGTAAACAAAAGTCGAGTCATTATTTTTCAAAGGAATCAACTTGTTGTAGTTGTAGTTGTAGTAGTATATCCTCGTGATTGTTGTAATGTGGTTGACTGGATTGCGGGATAACAGTTAGCGTTTATCCAGATTAATGAAGACAAAGAAAAGAATCATAATCGATTCGTATACAAAAATGTAGCACAAAATGGGAGGGAGCAAAAATAAAATAAATGGCACAGACGTTCCTACTGACAACCCAGAAAGACGTGGAAGGTGCACTTTAGAAAGCGACAATTTCGTGGGGAGTATAACAGGCTATTTGTTTTGTATTATGTTCTGCTTCAATCGAAAGAGCTAACTTTTCTTGATTCCTTAAAACCTATGGTTTCAGATTTCTTTGATTTCTCATTTTTCAGATCTGCATCCATTGTTAAATCATCAACCGATTCCCAATGCAACAGCCCACTCGCGGAAGTGATTTTGGCTAAGGTTTGTTTGATTAGAAATTTATTGGATAATTTCACTATTGCAGCATCTTGACACAATCACTGATTTCACAAAAATGTCAGAAGTGACAGCTCCTCTACATAGTGAATTGAATGGCCGAACGGGTGGGAAATGGCTTGTGATTTGTGGAGACAATACACAACAACCAGCTGTTTGGAGGTGAGATTGAAAAAATGATAGAGATGTCTTTTTAGACAACTTTCGACTTAGTACTTTATCAAAGAATAAAAAATGATAAAATCCATGAAAATTACAGGGGAGAAATGAGCCAATTCTGTTCGGTGACCCACAAGAGAACTACCTGTCATGCCTTTCAAATGGACTAAAATTATTGGACTGCAGAGGTTTTCTAGTTAAAAAAACCTTCTCTATTATTAAGTGTTCAAGCATCTTTTTCAGCTCTTTCTTTTTAGATCTTTTTGATCTTTTCAATCCGTAGTCATCAAGTCTCATTTTTGAATCGCTCATAAGGTGCTGCATTATAATATGGGAAATGTTTGTCGAGTGATTTTTTCATTATTATTTCATTGATTATTTCATTTATGTTGTACATAATGAAAATGAATTGTTGAGAACGAGAATATGTTTTTAATTTGCAAAATCTAAAAAATCACGAATATCAAAGAGTTGCTGTAATCCCTTTGATAGATTTTTGAAAATCCTTGCCTGATTTTACGAAACTTTGGTCTTTCACTATATGAAATTTTGCTTTCAAAAGTTTTTTCAAAGAGCTACATATCCAACACAATAGGTGATCTTGTATAATATGTAGGTATTGCGTAGGTATACTCTTTTTCAAAGAATACCGGTCAGTTGTTGATTCGAAAATAACTGTTTGGACGAGCCTAGCAAAGAAAATCCCTAAATGGCACCAAAATGGAAAAAAAAACTGGTTTTTATGAGGTGAAGTCAAGATTTTGTCGGTAGAAAAATGACCGTTTGTGAGCTGGCATTTAAAAGAGAAAAGAATTGCGAGGGAATGGAAAAGAAGGGATATTCTCAAGGCTGCAATCTTTTTCCTTTATTTAGGTAGTACTTTCTGACTGATCTTCAGTTTAAACTGGAACTTGAAAGATAAGGCTGGAAGCTAAAAGGGCAATCACATACTATTGTACAGTTGTTCGTCGAATGTTGAGCATATATGTACTGTTATTTCTTTAATTACAAGAAAACGTTTATAGAAATTATAAAATGTAATAGCTGAGATTGGCAACTTGAAAGTTGATACACTTATTCATTGCACTTTTTAGAAATAACCAGTGCGCCAATTAATCTACAGTTTTTACCAATAAAAAGGTTTATTTATTCTCTAAAACAGGCTTTTGACAGATTTAGAAAAGCTTCGGTTTTGTAGATTTGTAGGGGCCAAGAAGAAAAGAAGTTGAGGAACCAAAACTGATGGACACTCGATGAAGCGATTTGAGCACTTTCTTCCACATAAACCTATTTTGATGTCAATAGAAAAAAGATAGAGCATGAAAAGTTAGGTATATAGCCAAATTCTCAGCACGATTTGTCTAATTGCTTTAGTTATATATCTGTTTGAAGAATTTTCAGAAAAACTTGAATTTCTGTTCAAGTTCGTTTCAAAAGTTACCCAAATTTGCTTAAGCATATCTTAAATTAGATAATGTATAACTTTTATTTCGAGAAGTCTAATTCAATTGGCATATTCAATATGTTTTATGGAAAATACGAAAAAGTCTCCAACTTTCAAGTTGCCAATCTAATAGAAGTGAAAATAAGTAGGAAAATGATTTTGGAAATGAGTTCAATTTTCTGATATTATGGCCAAGATGAATTTGAACTCGGACAAATAAAATGAAAGAAATGCGAAAAAAATGAAGCTTTTGACTAGCTACATATCAAAGCACCTGACAATTATGACGAAATCCCGGGAATTTTAGTAATACTGGAAAAAAAATTGGCAAGAGAAATTGAAGCGATGAAAGGGGAGAGGTCAAAGTTCAATAAAATAAACACAATAAACAAAATAAACATATAAATATACTAGTCGTAAACGCTGAAATTTTGGAATCAATTTAACTGCAATGTTTTAGTGGATCACTTATCCATTTAAGGATTTATGTTCATTTGTTGAAAAGCTTCAGCGGCTTCAGCGGCGGGGGGAGCATTTGGATCTAAAATTCATTATTTTCATTTTAACATTAGAATTTTGAATCAAATTTGTATGCACATAAACAGAAAGAAGCAGGACGATTGAATATGAATTTTCTAAAATAAGTACCGTATTTTTCCTAATAGTATGACATGCCCAGGGGAGCGTCGTGTAACGACTACACGATTCTCCTCTATGTATATCATACTGTTAGGAAAAATACAAAAATACAGTATCTAAAGTTGAACACTCTTAAACTTTTAACATGCACAACATTCATCTAAGTGAGTTATTTGATGAATGGAACCTTATTCGACTAAACAGCACAGGTAACACTGACTCTAATCTATGATTTCACTTCACTCATCCACTCAACTGACTCCACTCCATTTCAATCACCTTTTCGTGTCTCAACAAATGTTGGTTGAATATCATTTAGATTGGCATGTCCACCTTGTTGATAATTCTCATTATAAGCAGATTGTTGAATGGGGACATATTGTGAGCCTTGATTTGTTGGATTAATTAATGAATAGACTCCAGAATACGATTGAATTGGTGTATTTGATTGAATGGGTTGAATTGGCTGAATTGGTTGGGCCGGGTTATTTGAATATCCAGTTGCTTGCTGTGGGTATGGTAATGGCATTTGTGCATGTTGGTGAAGAACTGGAGGAGTGGTTCCAATCATAAAATCTCTTCCATAGCCCGCTGGTACATGGTGACTCATTTCTGAGCATCTTCTTGTCACTTTACTCTTGTCTTTTGTAGACTGAGTTTGGATTTGATTTCTCGGCAAACTATTGCTCCGAGGCTTTGAGATTTGGGTATTTTGGAATCTCAAATAAGCAGACGGTGGGGTAATTGACGGTTGTTGATAAAACTCACTGTATGCTTGTTGAGGATAGGGAGGTTGTTGTTGCTGTTGAGGCGGATAAACAGGATAACCCTGTCCTCCTACAGGTCCATATTGTTGAGGAGCGGTGGGATTTGGATAAGCAGGTTGAGGTGGATAGGGGCTAAATGAAATACATTGGTCTTGAATTTAATTTAACTTTTATCTCATTTTACAGTTTTCTGAGATGTACAGGGTAAGCCAAAAGTTCTGTTACCTTCCTAAAGTTCGTCAAAGCTCAAAAACTGAATTTTGTTTCAGCTCGATGAAGAAAACCATAGACAATAGTAGAACTTTTGAACTATCTAGTAGCGAGGCTCAATGGCATAGGTTTCTTCCGCAAAAAAAAATTCTGGGAGCGAGAAAATTTAGTACCCTATTTCTATTCGGAATTTTCAAAATACTTTATCAAAAATGGATATTAAAATAATATTTTTTGATGCCAGCCCCCCAAAAAACTCATATTACATGGAAATTTATTTGCTGTCCAGCTTATTTAAAAAATGAGGACCATAGATAGTCCCAAAAAATTTTTATACTTGAAATTCCGGCAAATCATCCGCGACCAAACGCCCTATTTATAAATTTGTTACTAGTAAAAGATAGAATTCCTCTGGGAACATTTTATTTGGCGCTTTTTATACGTTTTTATTCAATATTCATAAAACAAGCTCAAAAAAATCCAAAGTTGATTGGTATTTGCCTTAAAATCTATAAACCCAGTAAGTGTGGTGGCAGAACTTTTGGCGCACCCTGTACTGTGTGTATCGTGAATAATCAAATCTTATAAGGGAGAAAAAAATCGATACCCACCTTGACTGTACGGGATACTGTTGCTGAATTGAATAAGCTGGTGGTGGCCCATATGCTTGCTGTTGTGGATATTGTTGAGGTTGTTGCTGTTGTGGATATTGTTGAGGTTGTTGCTGGTGATATCCATGAATAGATCCATCAAATGATTGTTGAGGATATGGTTGAGCCCCGGATGGATAAGGAGTATTTCCCGGGGGGTATTGTGGATTTTGTGGAATAGGCGCAACTTGTGGAGGAAGCTCTGAAATCAGATGCCTATTTCATTTAAACTTTAAATTTGTCTTTAATTGGACAGTTCTTTTGGCTGTTATTAGGCTGTCCAGAAAGTCTTTTCGTTCCTTTTCATACTTCTATTGAAAAATAACAAATTCATCAATAAACCTATAGTTTGCTCTAAATAAAAAGTGTTTATTGTTCAATTTCCTATATTTTTAAGTCAATTTGGATTCACTTCAAGCAAATTCGAAAGTGTAAACGTGTTTTTCGTAAAAATCTATAAAAGCCTACGAAGAAATTGGCTGAATGAATTTCTCTGAAAATTTTGCTATATACCTAGTTTTTGTGCTCTACCTTTTATCTATTAACACCAAGTTAGGTTTCCTTAGCTAAAGTGTCTATCATTATTGTCGCCCTTTTTGACTACCCGACTTCACGCTTCCAAAAAATCCAGGCATAAGACATTTTAAACCGGCTTTAATGTTGTTTTCCAGAAAAATAGTTAGCCTTTCTAGTGAAACCAACCGTAGTTCAATTGGTGCATTTGTTGGTTTTAAACGCAAGTACGAAAAGGAACGAAAAGACTTTCTGGACAGCCTACAGGATGGTCGCAAATTATCGCCTCGCAGTTTTTGGGCTATATCTTGGCTGTAGCTTCGCGAATCGGTTCCTTTTTCATTGCGATAATTTTCTACGGAGAATTTCTTTATACAAATTGTAAGATGCTTTTGAGATTTTTATTAAAGGCTTGAAAGATGCGCCCGAAACAACCCTTGGCACGCAACTCAATCTGCAGCTTTTCATGAACTGGTTTTAAGGGCTCTCACATGGTTTATTTGACTCTTTTCTGGTTAAAAAGCTCAAAACAAATGTTTTTCAACAAAAATCTACAACCATGTGGTTTTTTATGAGCTCTGGATGAAACATGCAATTGGCTTCTTGAGGATAACTTTGAGATTAACCGGTGAAATTTGTGAGTTTCAAGAAAAACTCAACTTAAAGAATTATCCAAATGTTACTCTTAAAGCTTAAATTTATCAAAAAAAAAGCGAGAAAACAGATTTCAGTTTGAAAATGAACTAGAAAGAGCTTGAATAATGTTGCTTGCCAAGGGTTATTTTGGGCGCATCTTCCAAGCCTTTAATAAAATTCTCAGAAGCATCTTACAATTTGTATAAAGAAATTCTCCGTAGAAAATTATCGCAATTTTCATATTAAAAAGGAATTAAACCGATTCGCGAAGCTACAGCCAAGATTTAATCCAAAAACTGCGAGGCGATAATTTGCGGTCGCCATGTAATACTTGCACATTCTCACCTGCAGGTGGTTCTCTTGGGAAAGGATTGTCTGATGGTCTTGGTAGAATTTTATTCATCTTCATATAACCAGTCAATTGAGCGGGAATCTCTGCCAAGACCTAAAAGATTTTGAACAGGGTATATAAATTTCCAGAAAACGAATAAAAGCTCAATTAAAATGACCTCTTTTGCTAACAATCCCATTGATCGTTCGTGTTCATGCGGATTTTGATAAGAATATTGTCCAAGAAAGTTTCTCATCGGAACAAACTAAAACTACGTATATTATTCGAGCAAACTTTTTTCATTTTTACAAACCTGTACAATATCTCTAACAGCAACACGTCCAGCATGTGTAAGAAGCTTTTGGTCCGAATCTAATTCATCCATTGCCTCAAATTCATCTTGTCCCACTCCAACAATAATTATCGATAAAGGAAGTGAACTAGCCTGAATATAAATACTTCTTTCCTTTATTACTCAAGCCATTTACCGAAATGATGGCTGCTTTCGTCTTTGCCATATCTGAGATTGCACCATCGGTGATTATGAGGAGAACCTGCAAGTCGAGATGGGAATAAATTGAAATGAATGAGATGAGTCTATGCGTTTTACGCTTAACTTTACATACATATATTCCCACATATTACATTAAGATTTCAACATACTCTCGTAAGTTTCTAACGGAAATATTCTCTCTCATTCAAAACTAAATAAGTACGATATACCTATCAGGTCCGTAACCAGGGGAGGGGCCAAAACGTATTATTTTTAAAAAGTTTGCTCCCCCAAAATCAAAACTTTTTTGGCCAAAAAAATTTCAGTAAGAAACTGGATAGCCCTTTTCTTTTAAAATGTTGCATTCTTCTTCAAAAAGTTGCATTTTTCTTCAAGAATTCTGCATTTTAAGGTCCAAAATTTGAATAATTGTACAAGACGGAAATAGAAAAGGCTACAAGCCTGATACTTATCTATTTCTCTTTACCTGATATTTACTCCCATCTCTTGGATAAATCGCTGCATGTCGAGCCACAACTTCAATGACAGGAGAGAAATTTGTGGGACCATAAAGATGAACCTTCAAAAATGAGAATAGCCTTGAAGAACATTCAGATTTTACCTGATGCAATGAATTACGATATGAATCCATGACTCCCTGAATACCGATCACTGATGGGTTTTCACGAAAATTCTGAATAATAAGCCAATCAAGAATTTGTCCAATAAAATTACCAAATTAAATACAGGTGAAACACGATCATTATGTCCAACTTTGGCTCCAAAACCGAAAGCATCGAAAACTTTGCGATGATTGTAATGTTGGCAAATATCAAGACAAGCTCTCAAAGCCACCTCATATTGATTGGGAAGAGAACTAAAATGGAGAATTGTGGCGGACATTCTGACCTTTAATGTTATGTGCCTCTATTTCGCCGTATCTACATTAAAAATTGTTTCTATGTTTGTAACGAAAGAGTGATTGTAATCTAATATATAGGTAGGTCGGTTCACGCAAAAATGTTTACCTGTAAAGAAGATTTTTCTAAATGTTTTTTTAATGGAGAAAATAAGTAAAACTAACGGATTGATAAAATGAAGTGAAGATGGATCATGAACTGGACCATTTGATGCGGTGAAATCAATAGCAACGGCAAAATCCAGTTGAGTTCTGTAAGGATCAATTCAGATTATGCAAAGAATGACAGCTGAATAATAAAAAATTTTAAAACATCTTTATCCTAACTTTAAGATTAAGACTGAACACTGAAACAAGGATCGAACTTTGATAAAAAACGGACCCTCCTTGAATGAAGTCGAGAAATGAGTTCTCTTTGTACACATGAACAGCATTGAACTGAAGAATCCCAGAATTTTTGTATTTATCACCCTTTTTTGCTCGTTTCTTCGCGTTGATCAGCTGAAATAATATTTTCATTAAAAATCCTGAAAAATTTCTTATTTTTACCGGCAATTCTCGATCATCTTTTCTCAATAATCTATCCAGCGTTGTCTCACAATTTCCGATGAAATCATGGCTGAAATTTTGAGGGTATATTTTGATTGAATCCATTATAAAGCCACAACATAAAGCTATGCGGAGAGGACAAAAGCTATGCGGAGAGGTTGAGATTATTAAACAGAGGTACGATTAAAAAATATCTTTGGCTCCCTTCAATAAACAACCTACAAAATTCAAAGCATTCAGATATTCAGACACCCAATAGCCTCTAATTTACACAAAAACCCCTAGCAAGTTCTCAAAGGGATACGAGAAATGGTCGATTATACACACCTGTTCTCACTTAGGCCGTCGGGAACCGTGACAGATCTAAAATTTTTGCCACCACAGTTATATTAAAAGCTGTTATAAATGCCCAGACAATACAACAGACAGGGGTCCACTACAGCTAAAAGGAGAAAAGTGGTAAAACAAAGGGATGCAGCGACACAGCCAACTAACAGTTATATTTGATTCAACAGCTTTCATTCAAAAAATATTTGGCTAGGTCACTGCAGAGACAACATGCAATGCGAACGAAAACCTGTCTAACCCGCCATCGAAGTCATGATCGAAACATTCGATTACAATCTTCCTGTAAGATTTCCTATTTAAGCTATTTGAGAGGTAGAGCTAAAAATGTGGATTGTAGTTAAAATAGCACCATAATAGAAAACGTTCAAAATAGCGTCGTCAAATTTTTCACAATCCAAAAACCAAGCCGGTTCAAGTTTTATACAAAAAATTCCTTGCATTCTTGGCTATATGATGGATGAAACCAACTGAGACACGCGACACATATTTTAGACGCAAATTTTATCTATGAAATTTTAACTTTTTTAAAGATCTTTTTCATCCATCATGTAGCCAAGAACGCAAGGAATTTTTTGGTATAAAAAACCAAGCCAGTTCGGCTTGGTTTTTTGGATTGTGAGAAATTTTACGGCGCTGTTTTAAACGTTTTCTATTATGGCGCTGTTAACTACATCGCAAAAATGTTACTCAAGTTCATGATTTTTTGTAACTTACGCATTTCGATCTCCACCACAAAGCAATTTACTGTTCACATCAAAAGTCTTCCAATCGGGATTCAGCGTCTTTTTGATCACCTCTGTTCGATGAGCCAATTGACGACTAAAAGTAACATTGATCCGGGTTTATTCTATTCTATTTGTCGAAATATTCAATATTTTTTTCTTACCTTCCATCGCCACGTATCCGGTAGATATTCAAAAAGGGATCACTTTTACCAAAAAGATCTTTCTTGTCGAGGTTCTAAACAATGAATAATTTCATCAATAATAAATTCCCTCATTGTCAAACCTTGCCCGAACAATTAAATTGCACAATTTCTTTAGAACCATCTTCCATTTCATCAGCTGAGATTGTTATAGTCCCACATTTTCCTCTAAGACCCCTAAAACCGTTCTTGTTCTATGAAAATTTAACTGAAAACTTTTTAAATTGGAATTTTAACGTACGTTAAATTTCCAGTCAAAACCCCATCAACGGCCGAGACGATTTCAGCCAAATCGCATTCGAATCGTCCCAAAAAATCGTGCTCAGAGAGACTTGTGGAATCACTATCCAAATCAAAGCTAAATCAATTTTTTTAATAATAACACTTTCATATGCTTGAGCATACAGTTCAAATCTCAGTTGTTGTCTTTCCTCGAAAAGATATTCCATATCCAATCTTTTGTTCCATTCTGGATCCAAGCAATTCATAATTTTCTCGGTTCGTCCCTGGAAATGAATAATGACTGCTTAATACAAAATAGAAACGGAAATAATATGCATTATATATTTACCCGTTCTTTCCATTCGGGGCGTCCCGCTAAACGTCCTTCCATTTGAAAAAGTACACATTGTGGATCACTTTTCGATAAAAGATCACGATTTTTTAGTCCCCTATAATTTGATTAAATATATTGATGCCTTACGTATGTAAAAAACACATGCTTTTTTAATTTTTGAACTGCCTACTTCGCACTGATGGTCAGTTGTAAACTGGTTGAGGGCTGCGTACGTTTAGTGGGTGTGGTCATGTGAAATTATCTGGAAAATGAATGATAAGTTTTTGATCGAATTTTGCAAATACACAAAAGGAAAACGTCATGAATTCGAAAAATGCCCAATAATTTTTGAATGAAGGATAGGTTGACCGAGATTCAGGTGTCAGAATGTAGACAAAGGGAGATATCGTGAGGAAAATCGCAGATTATACACCCGTTCCAGAAAAAAAACAGGAGACTTCAAATATTAAAGACTATTGACACGCAGGAGTAAATTTTAGGTTTTGGTTTATAATGGTTTATACATTGCAAAACTGCTTTCAACACAGGAAAATGAACCGTAAACAACCCGTCAAATTAACAAATTACTTGACGCTTAATGAAAAGTTTAACGAAAAAATATGACCAACATAGCAATATCAAAACAATACAAAGCAAATAATGCATTGGCCAATTGCAAATTTGAAAGTGAACACCGGAAACAAAAGTTCTAAAGGAAAGTAAACCGTGTAACATCTTAATCCCACTACTTGATCGAGTCGAGAACTAGTCCTTTAAGCACAGGCTTGCCTTCAAGAAGTTCATCGAGTTTATTCTTAGGGATTGAGCTAAAAGAAAATGTAGCAATTTGATAAATAATGCACTAAATGCCGCACTATCGCCAAGACATACCCAACAAAAAGCTCGATTACGGTGGGCGTCGTTTGCGTGTTGCTATCTGCAAAAGTGATAACTTTGTTGGAGGGTCCGAGCTGTTGATTGGAACGAACCCATCGAGTTGCGCGAAACTGAAAATAATTACTTCATAACAGTGCAATTATTTTCGTATTTTTTAACTTTTGAAAACAATACAATGGACAAAATCCTACTTGGTCATCCTTTTCAGATTTTCGCCCATTGAACAAAATCTCATCACCGAATTTAAGCAGTTCTGGCAAAGTTTCAACATCTAAACCCAAAAACTAGATTATCTTACCACAACAAATTACCGGTATCCAAATCGCCACCACACCAGGTGAGAATCGGGCAGTGCACCCGTCCATATTGTTCATTCCATGCCACAGCATAATACTAAAGCAAAATTTTTTATAAAAGATGCTGAACGGTAAAAATTGTTCAGAAAAAAAGGTAAAACCAAAACCTGTTCCACTTCAATAACTTGTGCTCGTCCAGTAATAATTTCACCCCCCTTTGCATCAATCACTTTTGCCGAAATAGCGAGATATTTACAATTATTTTTCTCATTTTGCGCCCGAATCTTGGCTTTAATCTAGAGTTGATTATAATTTCTTTTAGGTCGATAATTTTTGCCTTATCTCCTGGAAAAATGCGCGTTGTGAGGCGTCCAGTTTGACTGGCTGGAAAAGCAGATCCAGGAATAAACACTTGACCATAGAGCTCATGCTCTGCATAAGCCAACGTTTCGTGAACGCTAAACAATTGTTTACTCATGAATATCAAGCAGCTTAAGATTTATATTTTTAATAAAAATTGCTTTGCAGCATTTGTAATTTAGAAATTATAAAAACTACTTTGTAATAATGATTTCCTGATCATCTATCTCTTCTCCCAGTGGTTGACCTTGGTAGCAAGTTGAGTTTTGCGAAAGACGAACCTAGCTTGATAAAATCAGTAAAGATAAATTTGAAAACTTTACTTTAATAGCGCAGTAGGTGCATTGATTTTTACGCATTTGCAAGCTGGCTCTAACGTGCACGATATCCCCTTCTTTATAACGTTTCCTGGAAGTAAATAATTAAAAACAAAAAAAATTAACCCAACTTCAAATCAGGACATTCTTCAGCAACGGTCGTTGCGATAGGGCAAAAGATACTTCCATAAAAAGACGTAACATACATGTACTGAAAATTTGAAATATTTACAAGCATCTAAAAGTTCATTCAAATCTACCTTTGTGTCGACACGGTTAACACGACCAGTGCAATTAATGTGTGTTGGCTGCTCGCGATTCTTCTTCATCTCTATAGATCCAAGTTAAATAAACAAATAAAACTGATAGAATGACAGAAACGTCAACAAAAGTAAAAAGAAGATCGATTCTTTTCCATCTACGCGACGCCGATAGGCAGGCAAAAAGACCCAATTTAGGTGAAAAGAGTGGGTAAACGGGAGAGAAAAACAAAAGCCATAACGTCACACCAACAGAAACCAAGATATCTTATCTCAGGAATCAAAGATTGCCTACATGTTAGGTGAGGAAATAGCTGTCGCAATGTTTAGAGATAAAACAAGAATGACGTTAGGAAACATGGGACTAGGTGATTCACTCCCAAAGAAAAAGAGTGGGAAAGAACTAGATGGCCACGCCCCCTTTCTCAATCTAAAAATAGCCCTGTAATGGAGCTATAGTAATTAGAAATAGCTTTTCCGCAAATTTTTCCAAAAAGATAATAATTGGCTCCCGTCATTCGGGAAAAACTTTTGAAAGGGAAAGGGGGAAACATTTGTTGCTGAAAACAGTTTCGCAATCGAAAAAAAAACATGAGCGCACGTAAGTAACGAGTGACAAATTCGTGGCGTAATTTCAAAACGTGCGTGTTTTATGTATTTTAGGGTTCAACTGAATATCCTTGCAACGGTTTTGGCCAGTGATGTTTGTGTTGCAATGGAGATAATCCTTTTACAGAAAATATTGGTTGATTAAAAATAATCATGGTGTAGTAGAAACTGCATCTTTTTTTAGCTTTGATCGTTCCGATAAAGATTTATCCGAGCATTTTTGAGTTGGATATATTATCACAAAAGATAAGGCAAAGGAAATGAGTAAGGTAATGGAAGGCCAAAATTATTAACTCTCAATAACAACCACAGAACATTCACAGAATTCACAAATTGTGATAGAGAAAGAGAACAAACCAATCTGCTTCTATAAACTAAATAACTCATAAGCTACAAAGATAATCGGACATAGATAAACTCATCTTAATTGTTCTACTAAACGTTTAAATTTAATACGATCACTTATTTTTAGAGAGCTCGTGCATTGAATACTCCTTTTCCTTTGTGACTTCTCGGACAACTTGAAGAAACGGCGGGAGTATCGGATCTGCAGAGCCTTTCTAAAGGCAAACTTAAATCTAATCTTTAAATGAGCCGTACCGGAAAGGTCGTGTAAGTTTCAAGCATCAAAAGTCCTTCTTTTGGACAATTTGGAGGCAAAGGCAAAACGAAGCGATCCAACGAATAAAAATGGTTTCCCCAAGCAAAGCACCGACGAACCTACACTTGTTTTAGTTGGAACATATGGGTAGTAATGTTACCTTGTGAATTGTTGTTCTAGAACGATCTTTCATATTGAGGTATGATTCATACTCTCTCTTTGTAAGTTTCATCCTCGTCTCAACAGCTTCGCCCTAAAAACAATTACCACATAAACAGTTTTCAATTTTTCACCTCCATAATATTTCGAGATGTCAGCGAATAGGTCATCTTGTCTCTCTGACCTCGTGAACGAATGCGTAACTAAAGTTTATATTTTAAAATTCATTAGGGTTTGTTTTACTTGATTTCCGTCGTCAGGAAGTAGATAATCATGTTTCATTTGAAACTCCTCGTACTTCGGAAATTGTGTTTCGTCTATGCCCGCCAGAAGCCACTTTCGTTTTCTTAAAACAAAAAATTTGGAAATCCAAATGTAGAGAACAAACCTGCTATTTTTAGCAAGGCGTTCATAGGTGTAAACGCCGGCTCGATCACAAACGACTTGCAACAATTTTCTAATTTTGTCCTCAAAACTTGCGCACTCCGAGTTGTCGATTAAAAACAGTGAAGGGTGACCAATCCATGCCTGAATAACACTGATCTTTTTTAAAAATGCATATGGCTCACAAGTCTTGTCTGCCAATCGACCTTTTTGGCATCTTCAATTCCTTCTTTTCGTGTGTTGTTGTTTGCGAGACTGTAGAATGATTCTGCTCCATCGGCGGCTGTCACCATGTGTATTATCTAAAAAGAAGAGTTTTTAAAGTTGATTTGATAGCACCTGATCGTATCGATTATCGCGAAGATACGTTTCATCGAGTCCCAGTTCATCTAACATCTTTAGCCATCTTAAAGAAAATTATGTAAGTAGGTAAGAATCGTTAATATTCAAAGAATCATTAAGGTAGTAGGTAAGACTGATAGAAAATTCATTCTAATAATCGACATTACCCATAAGTTCGAAAACAATATCCACTTATTATAGTTTGACAAAGAGCGGCTTTGCTTACCCTAGTTTATCAATGTACGCCGATGGATCCATGGCTCCTCGATCACAAATAACAAGCACATTTTTGTTAGTTATTAACGATGCTTGCGTGAAAAAGACCTAATTTGTAAAAAATATTTAACATGTTATGTTAGGTACCTCTTCAATCCGCAGCAAGGTGAGTAGCACGTCTTTTTGGAATTGATATGCTTGCGTTTCGTTGAGCTCGGAAAATTTCACACCTTGAGCTGACCTTAACGAGTTTTTAGCAGTTCAGAACTACCTCCTCCAAGTAAAATTGTTGCACACTCGGGTACAGTAAAGACTTTCCAACCAAGTTCTTCAAAGAAACTCGCAACACGCACCTAAAAAGAATAAAATAGACAAAAACCTGGTTGAGTCATCCACATTTAACAATATTTTAGTAAACTCAGGTAGATAGAATTAGTCAATTCCAAAATTTAATTCTAAAAATGACCGAAAAAACCAAAAATAAAATCAATTAGTTTTTCCGATAAAGAATAACCCATTAACTCTTGGAACCGTTACGATAATATCCCTTCAAAAGTTACCATTCCAGTTGTCTTTCCTCCACAAGGTCCACCAGTCAGGACAAGCCGATAAACTTTGCATTGATCTTTTCTTAGTGTTGGACTGAGTGCCGGTCTCTTCTCCACATCGTTGACTTTTTCATTCGGTTCCGTTTCCCCCGAATGGGTCATCTAAAAAGATAAAGCATTACTCATGAACATTAAACATAGATTAAAGTCAAAAATCTTATTTCACGGGTTTAAAAAGATGGAAGATAAAAAGAAAAAGATTCAAAAAATGGCTTAAAATATACATACCGAGTGCCCCCCAAATGTCCCCCTACGACGTTTTTTGCCCATAACTTTCTTCAAAATTAACTTTTTTTTTGACTGATTTAGTTATTATTTTATTTCTTACATTAAAACAAATCCAAAAAACTTCGAAAAAAGTGTCCACCTAGGGGGATACTTTAGGGACACACAGGGGGCGGGGGGACTCGAAATGTATAGGTTAAAAGGACAAAATTTAATTTGCATTTTAAATCATGGTATGCAGACAAATATACTGTTAACTGGGTTGTTTAAAGAACATTTTTATCTTAAAAGCCAAAAATAATATTAGGTAGCTCCAAATCCTTTTAAAAGCAATAAGTAAATGTCAAGATTTTCTATTCTGATAAGAAACTCAATGCGGAGAATTCCATTGTAAATGATTCGCCACTGGCAACGATAAAGTGCATAACGTAGTGGAAAGACGATGGGATCCCTTCCCTGCCATTCCTATGTGTGTGTCCATCCAAAAAGGGAAAGACACAAAAAGTCAAAGAGAGAAAAAAAGAGACCGAGGATGTCCCGGACAGCCCCACAACCAGACCTCTTTCAAAACAAAGAAAGCGAAACACCAAAAACCGCTTGAATAACCCGCCAAAAACCCTCACATCCACGTGCTTCGTCGTTTTTTTTGCTATACAGATGTGAATCACATTGATGCTTCGAGGAGATCTGCCATCAAAAATGAGCGCCAAACATGAACAGCCCTTTAATTTACGCAGATTTTTTGTGGCTCTATTTGAAAAAGTTTTTTGTATGGTTGGCATGGATACTTTTGAGTAAAGGTACAGATCAATTTTGTAGACATGCAACTTTAACTCAACGCTAAAAAAGGGCAAAGCAGTCATAAAAGTCCAACTTCTCTTGGGTATTTTTTGGTCCACGTGAAACTTGCCAAGTATTCGGCTTCGTTAAGAAAAAAATTGTTAAGATATCGAAAAACGGGGAATTTTCTCGATTTCATTTTGATCTTTTTTTTGAGAGAATGTTTTGTTGAGAGCCTCCTTATCAGACACAAAAATCTCCTCGCGATATTCAGCCGACGATAGAGAGAAAATTTTTAAGAAAACATTCCCCTCTTTGAGGAATTTCTGAGGTTTCTATGGATGAACGGATTTATCGTAGTGATCTCTTTGGTAGACAATGAATGACAAGATGAATCAAAATCAATTCCAAGATAAATTGTGTTTTGGGCAGTTTGAAAAGACACTGAATAACCAAACTTATTGTATAAAGTGCTTTGGCAAATGGAAAAAAAACAAAATTTGGTTACTTGTAGATAAAATTGATGAATTTCTATCGAGCAAACTTGTGCTGAAGTGATAAATCGAGACAGCTGCCATTTGAAACCATTTGAACATTTCGAGATTTCAACAAGTAATATCTAAATTGAATAGAACTTTGAGGTTTCCTTTGTTTATGAAGCGTTGATCATATAAAAACCCAACGAGTACAGAATTGTATGAACAATAAGTTTAAAGAATGCAGACCAAGCATTGTAATCCTGAAAATGTTTTGAAATAGTAAAGATATTATAATAAAAACATGACTCTGTGGATAGGAAAAGAAACAATAATTGTTGGTTACTTGTAGATAAATGAGACAATATGATTCACATTTTTAACATCGCATAAGTGGAACCATATACATATCACATTTGTAACAGATGTTTTGTTAGATTCAAATATTGAGGTATGTCTGGCTAAGCTGTCCTTTTACTCACTTCACGAGCGTGAGTTAGTGTGACCCTATCGACCTAAAACGAATTATACCAAACACGACGGCATAATGCATACAACCAAAGCCAAGATGGTAGCTTCAATGCTTACATTCTCTAACACTTGCATTGGTCAGAACTACAATACAACAATGGTGTTATTAAAGCGAAACTTTGACCCAAGGACACCACAGGTCAAATATCAGACTCGGTTTTTCCTCTTTCCTTTCAAAAAAAAAAAGAATTCCACTTTACAGTCTTTTATTTACCTGGTTGAATGCAAACAAATAGGCAATTTGAGCCGCTAAGAAATCTTGAGAGATTTCTCTTTCGCATTTCGATTGCATTCCTTGAAATTTTACGAAGCCGAAGCTTTCAGATTAATTTTAAAAAGCCTCAAAATTTATGTTGACTTATCTGTGGTTGTTGATATTTTCGATTGTTCTTATCAGGTAAGTCCAAATCTTCAACAAAAGTTGATGAATATTTAGTGCAATCGAATCAAATGATTTATTGTCTATTTCATCAATCACTCCAAGTAGCCGAATTGAACGAGGAGCTGTGGTCAAATGTGAATTATTTTTTTTTAAAGCATTTAATATCCTGAGCATCAAACTTTTAATCACTTTTTGTCAGTTGAGTAGATAAGGCATACAAGACTAAAATTTCGGCTTTTACTAAAGTATCGTCCACTTTTCGACAGTAGATTTGAACATATACAAGTTTTATTGGGTTACCATAATCAAAGAAGGCTCAAAAAGTTTATTTGTTTAGCGATCACCTAGTTTCAATCAAATAAACCAGCCTTCCGGATAAGCTTTGTGGTAATGGGAAAGCGCCTTCTCTGGCACACTCAAGTCTTTCCTTTTCATGGAGTTGTTCTTATCAAAAATGGAAGCAATCTTACTGCGGAAAAGGTGTTTTCAGCAAAAAGTGTCGTTTGTCGTTTCATCAACCAAAAGTGTACACCCGAAGAAGATTTTGTATCAAAATCATGATTTAGCGCGAAAAGTGACAACTCGAAGGAAGGACGATGATCGACGAAAGACAACGGAAAAACGAGCACAGACAACGACAACCACAAGAGCACCAAACACGGATGAAGAAAGAAAATGAAAACCCTCAAATTGAACAAAAGTCAAAGAAAACAAGTTCAAAATTTTGAATCTACAACTTTGATTTCCTTTTTGCTCACACCGAATTGGGCAGCAAGTTCGAAAAGCTCTTTTTTCAATCTCTACTGATATTACCCTTACAATAAGTTAGACTCATTTTACTTTTACTTTGTTCACATTTTATAATGTGTTTCTCCTATCTTATCTATTTGGTTTTTATTTTCAAATAATATAAAACAGTCTTCTGCAATTCTGTATCTAAAAATCGATACTTTAACCATAAACTTTCTCACATTTTCCTGTTCAATATAGAGGTACTTTGTTCTCCATTTCAAAATCATCATTCTTTATGGCAAAGAAAGGATTTTCCGCAAGCAAAAAAGAAACATAAAAACACAGAATAAAACCTTAAAAAGGCAAACCGTAAAACTTTTTCACAGCTTTTGGCAATAATTGATGAAAAGATCTTGGGCATATATACGCACAAATCACACTATCTGTTTGAAGTATTTTTTTTTCATTTGATCACGATTTTGACTCTATTGACAGAAAAATTATTTTAGCCTTTCAATATAAATCACAAAGTCTCTTGAAAAATTTTGATTCGCCAACTTCCTGATTAAAAAAGCTCTTTGTATACTTTCTCGTTCGGTTTTTATATGATCAACGCTTCACTAACAAAGGAAACTCCAAAGTCCTATTCAATTTAGATATTACTTGTTGAAATCTGGAAATGTTCAAATGACTGTTTGGGTCAATTTATCACTTCAGCACAAGTTTGCTCGATAGAAATTTATCAATTACACCAACTTCAGATCTTTCAATTTTTACTCACAATTTCCATCCAATTTCGCGCTATTCAATTATACCGTCGTGGAGGTAAAACGTTGCAATTTTTGAGAAAGAACTAAACTACCGCCTTACTGGCTTTAAAACATCTAGTTTTGATTGAACCTGTATCGTTTCATCTTTTCGCTACTTTCGTGAACCCTAACACCTTATAGAACTACCCTGAACTTGGATAGATTGGAAAAATCTAGAAAAAAGGCTTGCTGTTGCTGCCTTAAAAGGCTGTTAAACGTATTCTTTTTAAAATTTTTAGATTTCCCGCAATTCAACAAATTTTCATTCATTTGGTGTCTTTTCATGGAAATCTCTTATTTGATCCTTTTCGGTAATTTCTTCTATCAATCCTATGTGAAAAGTGGTGGTAAAAAGTACAAATAACGCTTGAAACAACAGTGATTGAAATAAATGTATCAAGAATAAAGCTTATTCAACATAAGACACCTACTATTTACATTTCAAAGCTATTGATTTTAGCCAAAGTTTACTGAACTTTTTTATAGGAACATCTTAAGTTTCTATAATTAATAAAAGTTTATTTTTTAGTTTTACTCAAGTTCTATTAAATGCAAAAAAGATTATTCAAAAATATTGATTCAGTAAAGAGTTCCAGCTTCGTTAAGGAGGGTCAAAAAACGTCCTTTTAGCTCCTTGTCGGCCCATTTGTAGAGTTACTTTGGGCACCTCATTTTTTGGTCATCAATATTCATCATGAGACCTATTGAATGGGGTATCACTCATCCCAAATAGTCACATTCACTTCTGGCCATTCCCTTGTCAGAAGCTAAATTCTTTCATACCTATTATACTTTGTTGAGCTCAAAAATCTGTCGAGTATCACTCAAATTTTCTCTCCGTAAAATCTCATTTTCTTTTTGCCCTTCACCCACACAAAAAGCTATTTTTAAGTAAATTTCAGTCAAATGAAATCTACACACTTTTGACTTTCCGTCATTCTTTCTTGGCAGTTGGTTTACAATTAGCTCATTCATTTTCTACTTCACAAAAACAGTTACTAGAATGGGCATCGAAATCTGGAAGCGTCAAATCATCTATTTGAATGCTACATTCTCTATCATTGCCAACTCGATTCTTCTCATTTTTATCTGTAAATTCTCGAAACCTCACATGGGTAACTATAAAATATTAATGGCCAGCTTTGCTTGTTTTGATATTTACTTCTCGATTGTACAAGTGATAACTGTACCTGTGAGTATTTTAACTAACAAAGGATTCAAATCTTTTAAAATGTGTCTCTTGCATAGTTTAGGGGGTTACGTAATGCTTTGCCACGAAAGAGAGCGGGATTATGGTAGTTTTCAAAAGTTTAACGCATTTTAAAAAGCGCTTTGGTCAAGTAAAACACATTCTAATACTTACAAACTATGAAGCTTTCAAATTTAAGATTCAAAACAGTCATATTCTCATTTTTTCAGAATTTTCACATTTATCGTCACTGTTTTGTCGCGTTTTCATTGGGTCCTTTATTGAAGGGAAATCGTTTCGAGAGTGAATATCTTGGATTAACTCTATATTGTTGTGCATATGCAATGTGTCTCATTTTACTCACATATCATTTCATTTATCGATATTTATTGATTTGCAAGTAAATATAGATAATGATCCAAACAGTGAGGAGTATTTGCTCATTTTAGTCAACATTTCATGTATCTTTTCAACGAAAAGAAATATTTTCTTTGTTGGTATATTATCTGGATATTTCTTGCCTTTTTATGGGGTCTTGCTATTCGTTTATCGATGTATCATTGGCCTCAATTGGTGGTAAGCAAAAAAAGAAGGGTTCCAAAAATAACTACTACCGTAATAGCCCCCGTACAGTCGCGTAGTCTAACTTCTTTTTAGAAAATAACCTTTTTCTCAGATTTTTCCCAACTAAACTTTTGATACCAAAAAATACTAGATTTCAAGGGCTATCATTTAACATCCAAGCGCACACTGTAGCATAAACAGCGCGGAGAACGGAGCATGTAAAGTTAGACTACGCGGCAATACCCCCTCATTATGGGGGGAGGGGTGGCAAAAAAAGCCGATTTTCCACCATTTTTCAATCTTTTTTTCTCAGCGCTGGTTAATGCTAAAAATATGTATTATATCTCAAAAGATCACCCATCCTCTCTACTTTAATTTTATACCCAAGCGCGCAGAAACAAGCGTACTGGTGTCAAGATATGAGCGTTTGTTTGAGAGTAAACTTAGACTACGCGATGCTCCTAGATGGGGCGCTAGTATTACAGGTATTACGGTAGCTATTTGTATTACCAAAGCCATCTATTGAGGTATTTTGCAGTAATTTGAACAATCAATTTCATTCAAAATTAAAATAAAATGCTTTAAGGATTATGTTCGAATGGAGCTTCTAAAAGAATATGCAGTTCACGTGGATCAATCAGGGATTATGGGACCATTATACTTTGTAAGTGGTTTGTTACATTATTTTCTTTAAAGATCAATGTGTTCCTGCATCACATTGTGAAAATTTAGCTTGATGGTCCAAATGGTACCTTGAAAATTTCATGGAGAGCTTTTGTTGGATCTGCATTTTGTGTTTCTCTCATGGGTTGTTGTTTCAGGTGAAATATTACTCATAAAAATTCAATCATTCTTAAGAAAACATTATTAAATTTTCTATGTTTTTGACAAAGTGAATACAAAAAGTAAATCAAATTCAGCGCCATTTTGTTTTGTGGTCTCAAAGTTTATTTGACGCTCGAGAAAAGTTCGATGAGTGAAAAAACAAAGAAATTGCAATGGGATCTCTTTAAAGCTTTACTTGTACAGGTAAAAAAGAAAAATACACAAGATTGAGGTTGAAGCAACGGTAAAGTTTCTCTAGAATCAGTTCCAAGCCTATACTAATAGTAAGCATCTTTAGTTTCAATTGGTAATTGATCTCTTTTGGCATCTTGTAGTAAACAGAACAAATTTCAGTTTTCCGTGCCCGCACTTTGTGAATTTATGCCTGGTGGCCTGAATTTTATTTGTCCAATTTTTGCAATTCCATTGGGTCGATGGTCGAATTATTCAGGAATAATTGCTTCTCTCAATAATATAATCGAACCAATTTGTATGCTTTATTTTGTGAAAGATTATCGATATGTTCTTTTGAAAATATTGAGGTAAACGACTTATCAATCTTTTATCGAAGATTGGTTTTTTTATTTTCTTATAGATTACCCCATTTCCGGAGTCAAGTCTATCACTCATCAGACGTTAATCAAAGCCAGGTAATGGGTAAAAAAGTTTAATTTTTAAAAAAGACCAAGTATTATATTTTAAATCTAAAATTTAGGCTCAAAGTCACACTGATTTTCCGATCGGAACAAATGAGAAACACTTTGAAGTAAAATAAATGATTCAGTCTGATATCAATTGACACGTAATATTTGCAGAAAGAAAAGAAAAGAATTTGTTCGGACTTTTATCTCGAAGAAGACCATGAAAGATGAATCAATAATGAAAAGTGAAAAGGAAAAGAAAAGGCAGGCAAATGGATCATTAAACCAAATATTTTAAACTTCAAAGCTTTTTTCTGTGCAAACCGTATATTGAGCGCTATTAAATCTCCTGATATTAAGGTTTACAAAAAATGTTTCATCACATACGTCCGCCCCATCTTCGAATATACATCTATTATATGGTCATTATTAAAAAGGTGGAAAAGTCCAAGAACATTTTACCCGTATTTCATGGAGAGCTTTTGTTGGAGCTGCATTTTGTGTTTCTCTCATGGGTTGTTGTTTATACGGTGGAAAAGTCCAAGAACATTTTACCCGTATAGCTTTTTAAAATAGCTTTTTAAAATTTCGCTAAATATTCTTTACTTAAGTATAATGAAAGGTTAAATATTTTTGACTTTCAATTTCTCAAAAACCCCCACTCTATCTTGGATTTAGTAGAGTGTTTCAAAATTGTAAAAGGTTTCCATCCAAATCCTCTTTTTCGAAATTTTCTCTCTTTAAATCAAATACATTCAGCAACTAGGCTCGTTCCTTTTATATCGAGGTACTTTATCTTCAAAAATCAGCTCTGGTTTCTTTCCAAATTGTGTGGTAGAAAGTTGGAACTCGTTAATTAATCATGTACGTGGTTTATCTTCCATTTCCAAATTCAAATCTGCCATTAAAATATGCTGGTTAATATTGTCTATGCAATATTGTGTTCTGAATCTTTGTTTAAATTGGTGTTTGGTTGTCACTTTGTGCATAGATGTTCTCGCTTTTAAAGTTTATCGGTATGAAATCAAGTATTCTATGCAGGGTGTCCGGAAAAAAGTGGTCATCGGTTTGAGTCTGGAAAAATTTTCTCGCTAAATTTTTCAAGGCTCATCGTGGTGTCAGAATTGGTTTTGCCTCAGGCGTCACACAAGTTAATTTTTTTGATGATTTTGTGAATAGGGAATCATGCATCGGCCAGGGAGCTCAAAATCCACGTATCAAAACAAAAAGTACATGAAAAATACACTTTTGAATTTCTCTATTTCACCACAAATCTTTCTACTTTTTGCTTCTATTATTTTGTTTTGATATTAGGATCTTGAAAATAAGAGACCCCCAAAAAGTCGGTCCTGGGAAAGCAGCAACAAGAGGGTTTTCTCGTTTAAAAATTAACCATATTTTCGAGATTTTTAAAGCAGCCAATCCAACAATGCAAACTGAAATTGTGGCTAGAACGTTAAAAAAACAAAACAAATTATATTATATTCTATATACTATCCATTTTGTCCCCTCCCCATCCTTACCTCCATGTAAGTATTGTTGGGGTTAATTTGAGCTTTCACACGATTCAATTCTAAGGTTTGGGATGACAAATAAAAGAATGAAATAGTTTTCTCTTTCTGTTTCAATTTTTTCCGAAGAGAATTTGCAAAAATTACACGAAAATGGGGACGTGGAAACATCATTTATGCAAATAAAGCCCCCATTTAGACAGTCAATTTTTTTTCTCAACTGCCAAGAGAATCTGAAAAATGGGAAAAGGAGTGTCATTTCAAGAGAATGAATATACAATGTAGGGAAAAAGAAAACACAGAAATCTCTTTTTCGTCCTTTTATCTGGACATAGCTTCCAAATTCCCTTCTGACTTCACGTGGGACATTTTGCTTTTCTCAGCATACAGTTTACTGCCACTTCTCATTCATTGGTGTTTTTATGATTAAACTATTACTTTTACAATCGTTTTTCATTCTGATGTTCACATAGGAAGGGATTTAACATCAAATACTTAAAAAACTTTTCAATTTTGGGTAATCGCTCTATTTTCAAAAGCTTTCAAAACCCGGATCTATAAATTGAACTTTTTACGGGTAAACAAGTTATAGTTTTTGTTACTAAATGAGAATTGTTGCTAAAAGCGATCCTCTCTGTGTTTTCTGCAATTTTATTTTAAATTTAAACAAGACCAAAAACGGGCTCATGTGAAAAATGATTTTCCTTAGCAACTGTAAAGTGGTGGATAGAATTGGTGGATAGAATTTTGATTAGGAATAAGACTTTAAAAATGGTCAAACAAATCAAAATGGGGTTTTTGGTGAATGTGATCTTTTGAATGATGGAGACTGATCATAAAGGGGAAAGGAACCGGGGCATGTTTTTGCTTTTCTCGGAAAATATTTCAATAAAATCTGTGCTTTATACAGTCATGGACAAAAGTCTTGGCGGGTCCTGGGTGGCAACTTTCAAACGCAAATTTAGGAACCTTCCCGAGAGGCTATAAAAAAGTTGTCACAAGTATTTTTGAGCATTTTTACTCTACTTTTAGCTATGACCAAGCATTGAACTCGAAAGTTTATTTTAGACAAAAAAAATAAGCGTAAACGACAAAAAGGTCACAAAAACAATGGACAAAAGTCTTGGCGGCACAGACATAGAGGCGAAAAATTCAATATTTTGTAGGTCCGCCTTTAGCTGCAATGACCGCTTGGAGCCTCCAGGACATACTGTCAACTAGATCGCGTAAAATTTGTGGCGCAATTGTCACTCAAACTCACCGTACGAAGTATCAAAGATCCACCTTAGAGCTAAACCGTCTTCCCTTGAGTTTCGTCTTGATAAACGCCCATAGGTGTTCAATAGCATCCAAATCGGGGCTGTATGGAGAAGCTGAAACGAGTTGAACACGATTCACGCGGAACCATTCGAGTACTCGAACACTTACCCCATACCATGACCGCTTCACCACCAAATTTCACCGGATGCTCTTACGCTTATTTTTGTTGTCTAAAATAAACTTTCGAGTTCAATGCTTGGTCATAGCTAAAAGTAGAGTAAAAATGCTCAAAAATATTTGTGACAACTTTTTTATAGCCTCTCGGAAAGGTTCCTAAATTTGCGTTGGAAAGTTGCCACCCAGGACCCGCCAAGACTTTTGTCCATGACTGTAAATACTATGCATCCAATAGTACCCAAAGTACTAACAAGCTCTTAAACAAGCCCTTTCCAAAGCCTTGCCGCCTTCTCCAAAATCTCTTAAATCATTGTAAAGTAGGCTGTGTTTCTTTCGACTGTCAAGTTGAAAAAGTAACCGTAATCCTTTTTGGTTAAACATCAAAGTCCAATCTCTCTTCTCCCATTACACTATGCTGGAATTTTGCCTTCCAACATTCAATTTCACGTTTCTTCCAGAGTATTAAGATTGTAACAGTTTCTGAACAATGATATCTAATTTTTGTTAAACCTTTGAATAATTTCATTCAGCAGAATGAATCTTCCTTTTGAATATTCGGCGAAATATTTATTTCTACTTCTTATCATTATCCTATTATTTCTCTCCGAGAATTCCAGGTAAAACAAAAAGTTTTCTCAAAAAAATGAATTTTTAGTGGTGCTTATAAAGAATCGATCTTCAAAAAGGCTCAAATACAAAAGAATCATCCAAAATTCATTCAAGAACTTTCAAAAAAGATTCTCGGAGAAGATAATTGGTTGATCCAAGAGAAACTGTTGGTTGGGCGGATGAGTTCAATCCATAATGGAAATCAATTGGGAAATCGAGTATTTGAGATATTGGGATTGGCATCAATTGCAAAAAGATTAGAAAGGTTTGTCTACAAAAAAAAGAAGAACCTATCCATTTACTCTCATAAAGAGCAAAAAAGATTCCTACAGTCGAATTTGCGGTGTTAAATGATTCCTAGAATAATTAACAAATCGGACAATATTGCTCATTAAATTGACTCATGTTTTCATCAATTTTATCTAGAAAACCGGCTTTTCTGCTTCAAAGTGATCCATTCAATGAGCCGGTTATTCATCAACTTTGGGCAACTCTCATGTATTTCCCGAATCTTTTGGATGGATTTTTCTTAGAAAGCGAGCCAATGCATTTAGATGTGAGTTTCATGATTTTCTTCATTTAAAACCCCAATTTTCTTTTTGGTTTCCACACTTCCACGGGTGAAATTACAAGGAGAAGTATCGACATATTACAATTTGTCCATGTTTGATGAGCACAAAAAACAGAAAATTGTTATCGTTGAAGCTGATTTGTTGCAGGTAAGGCGAGAGAAATTACTTCTTTTTAAATTAGTTATTGTCTATTTGTCACAGTCACATCCTTTCAAATACATTAGAAAAGTATTTGAAATTGTAAAAGGAAAATCTCAGACAGCCAAGGGCCTCCCCACGGTGGCATCGGGTAATATTTTTTGCGAAACCAGGGCCCGTTTCTCTCCTCACCGACGACTTTCCTGGTGAAAAGAGGGCGCTTTTTATGACGCCCTTTCCGCACGTGTGCCAGAAAGCGCGCGATTATGGAAGCACACAAAGAACACAAATAACAGAAGGACATCTCAAAAAGACCGATGAACAGAATACAGTCTATTAGTCTAACTTCAAGTTTCTACTATTCTTTCTGTATTTGTTTTATCTTTATCCTCAGAATTACCACTATTTGGATGATCTCGGTTGGGAGGATGTTGTCTATCGATTGGGATTCTCTGAGTCGACAATTGATCTCTCACAATATCTTTTGCCAATTACTTTTCGGGAAAAAGATAACAGGTTAGGTGAAGGAAAATGATACAAAACGTTTCAAAAAAAAAATTTCAGAATTTGTGTCCATTTGCGAAGGGGTGATTTCAAAGAGTTCTCTGCAAAATTTTCGTTTATTGTAAACGCATTGGAATTCATCACAAAGCGAGAAAAATGTGAGTGAAAGGGGTTACAGAGTGAATATCGAAAGTGAAACTAATTCTTTCAGTGTCAAATTATGGGATTACAATTTTCTCGGACGATTCTGATTACGTGAAGAAAACGGTGGAAACAGATGAATATTCAAGTAAGTATCACAGAAAATTCTTTCTAATCTTCAAAGAAATTCAGAATTCAAAGGCAATACATGGTTACCAAGAGATGGACATCCAATTCATCTTGTTTGGTCGTTTATTTCTCATCAATGTACTCATATTCTTATTACAAGTTTGTATGCACAGAAAATTAGTTTAAATCATCGAAATTTTCAGATATTCAGTCAACTTATGGTTTTCTTGGTGCCTATTTAGCGGGTAGAAATGCTTCTATTTATTTCAATCCAGAGCTTCATTGGAGACATCCTGTCCCAACACCAAATTGGTGGATTCCTGTCTTTTTATAATTTGTCAAGGAATTCGTTAGAAATTTTTATATTTGTCAGTGAAGTTATAAATGTCATATATAAGTTATCATATATAAACAAAAACATTCTGAAAAGTATTAGGTTGTTTGCGTTGTTGCGTTTGCAACAACAAAAAGTTTGCAGAAAAACTTACAGAAAAATTCAATTTTTATTTGCAAAGAATCAACAAAAACAAGAACCTTCACTTTTCAAAGTATAGTCTGTCATTCATGAGCAAGTCTTCGGATCTTCTCGAAGTATCAAGCCGGCTCCTTTGAATCAAAGAACTCTTGAGAGGCTTCTTCAACTTTTTGTCTTCAAGATCCAAAGCACCGTCATTGAAGCGTTTGAACCACTCAATCGCAGCAGTTTTGTCAACAATTCCTTCGCCTTCCACTTCACAAATCACTTCAGCAGCAGATTTCGCAGATCTTTTTTCCAATAGTGACGGAGCAAAACACAAAGTTCACTTTTATTCATCTAAAGATGTGGAATGTAAGTTATATAACAAAATACTCGCAAGAAAACAGGGTTTCAAATGAGCCAAAAACCATAGCAATCCAATGTCAAAATAATTAGATAATTAGAACTTTTCTGCAAATGGCCGCGAACTTTTTTAACAACCTAGTATAAAAGAATTATTTATTATTCAGAACTAAAAAATAATTCGGGAATGGAAAATCTGCTACAAGGCTTTTTGCAAACATGAACTATTGAATCTTTATGACAAGTTTGTATTAAAACAAAGACCTTTAATCACAAAATAGAGATAACAAAATTTGTACAATTGATTTCATTTTGAGATAATCTCGATCTTTTGTGACATTTCTATCACGTTTACAAATTGTAGTCTTTCTAGAGAAAAAAAGAGCGAATCAGACAGATTTCCCCCAAAAAAAGGAAATCTCCAAAATAGGGAAAAATATTTAACGGCGAAATTTTTCCGGGTGAAAGTAGAGCAATTTTCGAGTAGTCTCGTCTCTTCAACATTTTCTTTACACCCTTTTTTTACTCTTTTTACTCTTTTTACCTTCGATTTTTGTGCAAATCACAAAAATTCACTTATAAATCTTTCAAAAGAGAATATTGATCGATATTTGAATTGTTAACGTATTTTTTTGTTTCTTCAAAATGAGCCGTCAAATCACATTGAATGAAGTAGCTGAACATTCAACTGAAGCTTCGATATGGGTAATCATTGAGGTGAGTTTAAAAAGAAAGAACAATAGATATTAGGCTGGCCAGAAAATCGTTTCGTGATTCAGAATCTCTAAATTGAACCACCAGATTTCAAAACGCTCATTTATGACTTTTTCTAATAAAAAGTTATGTAATAATCAGCTTTTGAATGAAGGTTATCTGGAGTAGAAAAATTTATTTCAAGGAAAGTCAATTTTTGTGAGTATTTTCAATTAAAAACCAATTCCAAAAGAAATAAAAAGCTTTTAGACTTGAAATTGTTTGCAAAATACATTAGAAATAATCATAAAAATTCACTTGAAATTTTGAAGAAATACATGGTGTTTTGATAAATTCCGAGTCAAAAGAACGTGAGCTCGGTAAACATGAGATTTGACTCGGTATTGAAGTTTAATCATTTCTTCCATCAAAACTTCCCAAAATAAAAAGTTGTGCCGCTGTTTTTAGTTTAAGATATTGATCTTTATTTTAACCATACAAAAGTTTGATAGCGGCTTTGATTGAAAAATTTGGGTGGAACGAAAAGACTTCCTGGACAGCCTAATAGTTGTATAGATATGCCGATGCGGCAAGTAGGTCAGCTAGGTTCAACTATTCGATGCTTTAAAACATTTTGAATGTACATTATTTGCATTTTTCAGGGAAAAGTTTATGATTTAACCCTTTTTCTCGATGAACATCCTGGAGGACGAGATGTACTTCTAGAACAAGCAGGAAAAGTGAGATTTGAAAGAAAATTTTCCATTGAAAAGGTTATAATAACAAAAGTCTCTATGTATACGCATAAAGATTTCGTAAAAATATGGAAATATGGAATATGGAAAACCTTGTACCAAGCAATTTTATTACTATCGCGAATTGTTGATCGTATCATCACATTTTCAGGATGCAACAGAAGCTTTCAAAGATGTCGGTCATTCAGGAGATGCCAAAGAAATGATGAATGATTACTATGTAAGTAAATGAAATTTAACAAATTTCGACTATCGATTATTTTTCAGATTGGGGACTGGACTTCTGCTTGATTTGACTTCTTCAACAACCAGTATTTTATTCAAAAGAACTTGGTTTCATAAATTTTTCAACTTGAGTGTTGTGTAACCGTTTCAAACGTTGCAACGTTCCTTGGTGTAACCGGTTTTAATCATTCATTTTACCTCTTTTTGCCAATTTGACAACAGCTCAGCTAACGGGAGAATCTCTCAAAATTTCAAGGACAAACAATTTGTTTTCTTTTCTCTTTTTAAAATGTTTTTTTTTTGAGATTTCTGATTCATCCTTTTTATTTTCTAAAGCAGTGATAAGCCTATGAATCGGGGGAAATGTGGAAAAGCTGATTGACGGATGTTTGGAATGAAAAGTTGGGTATTCAAACAAAATACAAACAAAATACAAACAACATATCAGAATCAGGAATAAAATTCAAAGTAAAATCTTTCTTGGATGAGAACATTTTCTTGGATCAAAATTTACTATTAGCTTGAAAGTGCACATTCTTTTGTTTTGAAGAAATTCTTGTATAAAATTGTGTCTCGTATAAGCCAAATAGTCAGTATACATATTAGACTAAGCTAACAAATATGTTTACGGATTAAGTGCAAAGAATAGCATCTAATATTTGGCAAAGTTTTGTCTGAGTGAGTCACATGTTATTTATTTCATTGCCAAGTCTGATCTCGATCTTCCACACAAACAAAGAATAAAACGTCATTTCATTCATTCGATCAGTCTCGTGGTTTCCCTCTTTTCATCTTTCATTCAACAAAAATCTCTCACTATTTTGTATTTCATTTTTCTGTTTTCATTAAAAAACATACTCAGACTCTCTCAAGCGAACTTTAACTAGGAAAAAAGGAAAACATAGACGGGTTGACTGTTTGGGTGGAAAGAAATATTGAGAGAAAAGTGGAAGCGAAAAAGAGAAAATAGAAAAGCGAAAAAAGAGTTTCAGGGTTTACACTTTCAGCGACAAGGCAGGGGAATTCACGTGACATTCGCTGAGAGAATGGGGGAATCGGGAGGATAAAAGGACTGAGATTCTTCATAGTGTTCCCACAAAATTCATGAAAAACGTTGAAATTTTTCCTGTCAAATCTTGTTTTATATTTTAAGCAGAAGAGATCTTTTTATCACTTCAAAACCATATAAAAAGATTCGTCCTACCTTCCAAATTGTACTTCACTCTCACACTCTTTAGAATCATTTAAAGTCTTTCTAAACTTATTTCAAACTTCTTTTTCATTAGTTTTTATTCAAATCATTTTTATTTATTTTTATTCAATCCCTATTATTTTTCAGATATATTTTTTGCACGATTTGCCTCAAAAATGACAAACACTGACTCAATTTCTCCAATCTCTTCATCGACCACACAATTCCCGTCAAATGGCACAGCTGAGGAGAAAATGAATAAGTTTGTTTAAAACGAAATTTGTAAACCTTTGTAAAAGTTTCTTCTATAACCAAAGTTTTTCACGAACAAAAGCAAAATTTCTCACAAAGAGCTGATTTTAAAGCATCTATTGAAACAAAACCTTTTGAAATAGAAAAACTCTCGAATCTTTCAGCAATTCTTCTCTTGCCGATTACTTGGTGACTCGAACGGAGAAAAAGGGACAAAAAAAGAGAAAACCGGCGAAATTGACACAATTATTGGATGATGATTGGGTGGTGGTAACTGATGAATTGTAAACATCATCAGAATAGTCAAGCAACATTTTTATCATCAATTTTTAGAATAAACATCCCACAATTTTCTAGGGTTTCTCTTATTTTTGATATTTCATATATTAAATGGTTTAAGAACTGTCCTCGATGGACAGATATTCAAATAGGCTTTGGGAGATGATAAAGATAAAAATAATGGCTGGGCCATTCTCTCTCTTTCTCTCTCTCTTTTTTGTAATTTTGCATATACCTGTACATCAAATCCTAGTTATTGATTATTTCATTTTTCTTATAAATTTGTGCTCTTTTGCTTTACGGATAAATAAAGATTTGGATCTCATTTTGTTAAAGAAAACTAACAGCAAATTTTGATCAAATTTTTACTATCTGATTCACAGATTAACAAGATTAACACAAACTTTACACAATTGAAAGTTTTGATCAACATTTTATTATGGGATTTCTAAACCAAAGATGAAATGAAAAGGTTTGAAATCGGAAAAAAGGATTGAGATAAGGCTCTCGAAAAAAGAGAAATCTTTCATTTTGTCAACTTTCGCAAAATGCTAACTATAAATTTGCTTTTAGTTTTTTGTTTTTTTCACAGAGTGGTAAGGCAATGAAAGAAATAAAAAGTCAATCTAAAATTTTTCCAGAAAGGAGCTGTAGATGAATGTCAATTATGTACTAGAATGGCACAATTTATTCGAACACTTCAAGGTGGCATTTCTATTTTTCTATCGTTCATTAAAAGAAACTTTATTTCAAATTTGAGTTGCCACTTCATCACTTTTCCAATAAAATTACAGGTGAATCATATTCTCAAGTTTATCAAGCGGCCAATAGTTCACTCAAATTCTTTAATACGGATGATCGACAATTCTTGACTGTTGTTTTACAGTAAGTTGAGCCTGATTTAGCTGACTTATATGAAGGTTTATTGTTAGATATAATTTCCGAAAACTTTTTCTTGATATGGACAATCAAGCACCCGGAATGACTTCAAATTCAACTTGTGGAGACCTTGGATATTGTTCTTTCAATGTGTTTATTTGATACGATGAAAAACCCTTCAGCAAAGATTTACATTTCGTTTACTTTTTAAGATTTACTCTTCAGTTAAATACAGACAATACAGCAATGCCAGTTCTGAATCATAATTTTCAGAGTGAATGGGGCCCAAGTTTCAAGATTATTACTCAATTTTCTGCGGTTTGGGACAACAATTCTCAATGGAAGTAAATATTCAATCATAAAATCCAAAAAATGTCTGTTATCTAGACAAAACGGTTTAGAAACACCCGAGACAAAACAATAATTGTTTTACATGACACTGAAACGGGAAGTCTTCAAGAAACAATTGCTGCTTTAGAAGACGAAGGATTATCTGTTACATATATTGGTTTGATAGATTGGGATTTTGATTTGATTATAGAAATATTATTAGTTGATATTGATGGCCAAGTGTATCAATATGTGAGAGATTCTCGCCGTGCTTGGCATGCAGGAAGTGGAATTTGGAGAGGAGATGGGCAAGTATTTTTGGGTATTTTTGCAGTATTTGCTGCCTTCACAATGTCCCAATTCTCTGCTTGCTTTGCCTATTGTTTTTAATATTTAGTTGTGATGTCTCTGATACAAATACCCGATCAGTTGGAATCGAGACAGTAAATTCTGGGGATGAAAGCTTTCCACCGCAACAAGTTTGCATTGAAAATATTTCCCGTTTCTAAATATCGAACAGATTCTTGGAATATATAGATTGATCGATTATTTGAGGACAAAATGGCAC